AGCTGGGGGGAAATAAGCAAATCTGGATTAGTTCAGAAGTATGTTATTTCCTGATTCTTTGGGAATTATTCTTCAGTTTACTTCTCACCCAGTCTGATGTCAGCCAAGGGGCAGCTAAGAAGTTACAGTAGCCCTCTTTAGGTATTCTGATTCTGCGTCCTACAAATATGCAAGGCATTCACCACCACTCTTATCCACCTTCATAAGTAGTAAGGCAAACTTATGAAGCAGAGGTCCTACTGGACTGGTGGGAAATCAGGTTTCTAAATGTGTTAAAGACCTTTTTAAACATTATTAAATGTGTGTGGTCTTTTATATGTATATATATGAGGGACGCGGGTGGTGCTGTGGGTTAAACCACAGAGCCTAGGACTTGCCGATCAGAAGGTCAGCGGTTCGAATTCCTGCGACGGGGTGAGCTCCCGTTGCTCAGTCCCAGCTCCTGCCAACCTAGCAGTTCAAAAGCACGTCAAAGTGCAAGTAGATAAATAGGTACCGCTCCGGCGGGAAGGTAAAAGGCGTTTCCGTGCACTGCTCTGGTTCTCCAGAAGTGGCTTAGTCATGCTGGCCACATGACCCGGAAGCTGTACGTCGGCTCCCTCGGCCAATAAAGCGAGATGAGCGCTGCAACCCCAGAGTCGGTCATGACTGGACCTAATGGTCAGGGTCCCTTTACCTTTATGTTGGGGGCATTCTTGAGTACGGGAGACTCTTCACATGTTTGAATTCCCAACTTGTAACGGGTGACAGGCAATAACTGTTTGCAAGGCTGAGCAGTGGTGCTTACTTGACCTCCTAATGCCAGTGTCTCTGCAGCTTACTGGGAGGAAGAGGGGTAGGTTGGCACTGGTAGAGTCAATTTGGTGCTCGCAATGGTGTGTTTATTACAGCATCAACCTTGCTATTGCCTCCCCACTCCCATTTCCATTAAGCTACAGTGTTGCCAGTGATGGGATGTCAGGTAAGCACTGATGCCCTGCCCTGCTGACTGCTACTGGTGACAGGTGTGTTGACAGAGCCAGATCACGTGTCCCCATAGTCCCTTCCTCATGGGTTTGCTATACACAGAAACAGAATGCCCTAAGAGGTCTAGTGCTAGTCTAAGAGGGCTAGTGCTATTATTACTTCGTTAGTTTAATTTGGCATAAGAATTTATCTCTTTGGGAAGGCTGTTCATATACATGATTTACCTATAACATTAGTATGTACTAATAGATGTACTCCATAAGGACTGACAATGGCAGCTTGGGGAAGACTCCATTCTGCTGTTCTTGCTTAGAAGCAAGTCCTTACTTGAGGACTTGTTTTGTTTTGTTTACTTTGATTCACAGCAGTGTTTTACTTGTAATAAGAAGAACTAACCCTGCAATCTCTTTGTGGAATGCTGACTTAAATGCTATCCAAGAGTGTATTTTGCCTATTAGCAGTGCAGAATTTGATATTAATGTATTCGTTAGAGAAAAGTACCCAAAACACATCTATCTGGAAGCAAAGCAATATGGGACAGTCAGGTTTCCACCCCAAGTGATAAGTGCAAAGGGAGGCGTATATCACAAAGGAAGTCAAGTAGAAGTGGTACAGAAGTGTAATAGATAATAACACACATTCATTCACTAATCATTTGGTATTATGAAAGACTACTCTCCATATTAACTCTTGTATGAATAATGCAGCAGCAGTTCAGAAATGCTCTATGTTTGAACGAGGGGGTCATTTTTAGAGGCTTTTATAACAGTTGTTTATTACCTGCATATGCTTTAATGGGGTCTCTGGAGGATCTGTGGCCACAGCTTCCCATTGTTTGTGGATAGAAAAGTGTATTGGCAAAAGGTTTCCCCCCTTTTGTAGACTAATCATTAACTTCTAGTTTTTCTGGCAGAAATCCTTCTTTTGAGTAAAGCAGTCTTGCAACAGAACTCTCAGTATGAGCTGCTTTGGGAGGAAAGGTGGGATATAAATTTAATTAATATAGCTTCAGTGTAATTCTGGATGTTGTAGGCTGACATTAGTTCACATTCATGACCTATTAGCAGTTAAAACAGAAAACAGATGTAATCAGAGGAAAAGACAATCAAATGTAATAATGTATTATAACAACAACAACAACAACAACAACAACAACAAAATTTGATATAGCTGAATGGAGCACATGTTCAGGAAAACTTAGTACTGTATTGCCTCCTAAGAAACTAAATGAAAGCAGTCTTGTCACATACTTCTGTGATCTCATTAAGTATCATTGTTCCAGATTGCTATATTGTTCACCTTTTGAGCATGTAAATAAAGCTGATATAAAATGGCTTGTCATATTGCTTTATCTAGGAAATATTAAAATATGAGATGTTAGTATTCATGCTGTAGCATTCATTATACATTTTGCACTTAAAGAATAAAAATGTTCAAGTGGTACTTCTTATAAAGGTAAAGGTAAAGGGACCCCTGACCATTAGGTCCAGTTGTGACCGACTGGGGTTGTGGCGCTCATCTCGCTTTATTGGCCGAGAGAGCCGGCGTTTGTCCGCAGACAGCTTCCGGGTCATGTGACAAGCATGACTAAGCCACTTCTGGCGAACCAGAGCAGCACACTGAAACGCCGTTTACCTTCCCACCTATTTATCTACTTGCACTTTGACATGCTTTCAAACTGCTAGGTTTGCAGGAGCAGGGACTGAGCGAAGGGAGCTCACCCCGTTGCGGGGATTCGAACCACCGACCTTCTAATCGGCAAGTCCTAGGCTTTGTGGTTTAACCCACAGCGCCACCCGCGTCCCTGATACTTCTTATAGGTAAAGGTAAAGGTACCCCTGCCCGTACGGGCCAGTCGTGTCCGATTCTAGGGTTGTGCGCCCATCTCACTTAAGAGGCCGGGGGCCAGCGCTGTCCGGAGACACTTCCGGGTCTCGTGGCCAGCATGACAAGCTGCATCTGGCGAGCCAGCGCAGCACACGGAAACACCGTTTACCTTCCCGCTAGTAAGCGGTCCCTATTTATCTACTTGCACCCGGGGGTGCTTTCGAACTGCTAGGTTGGCAGGTGCTGGGACCGAGCAACGGGAGCGCACCCCGCCGCGGGGATTCAAACCGCCGACCTGACGATCGGCAAGTCCTAGGCGCTGAGGTTTTACCCACAGTGCCACCCACGTCCCTGATACTTCTTATAGTGGGCATCAAATATTGAAGTGTTACTGAGGAAGGCCGCTCTCCAGTGATGTAAAATGTATGGGATGGGAGAGCAAGGGGGAAAGGCCAAAATGATACTTTAAGTTCTTAAAATATTTCCCTAGTTGTGTCAAATTACTAATGTTTCCTGGTGCTATTTTTTTCCTGGGTCTTTTCCTGCTCTCATTCTAACAGCATATTATCTTGTCTGAAATTCATTACGTCTACTGAAATCTGTGGGTGGAAGAAGAAAAGTGCAAGCCATTCTTACAACAACATTGCTAGTCTTTCTTCCTTAGATACCCATTCTGTCTTCAGAGTTGTTATCTAGCACGTAGCTGAAACTCAGTTTTGAATGCAAAAACCAAAATTTTATTACATATATAAATACTTGCCCTTCCTCTCCAAAATAGAAGAGTCTATAAGAGCAACTCCCAAATAAAACAAGTATAAAATGGCTTCTTGGCTGCATTTGGCTGAACTACACTCAAACTCCATTTTAGGCGTAACAAATATGCACGCAAACCCAGAAGTGACCCATAAATGTCATAAAAGATGTCACTAAAAGGGTGGAATGGGGGCAGGATGGGGTGTTTCAGTTGCCCGCTGTTTCACACGTGTGTGGTGACTAAAAACTCTACCCAATTCCATTAGTGCCAATGAGTCTTACTGTCAGTGAATCCTTTGCTAAGGATCAATCAGGAACTCACTCTTGAGTTCCCATTTGTTCCTTTGGCACCATGTCCTTACCTGCCACATGTTTGACATCACATATGATGTCAGGTGTGGGTGGTTTGGGGAACACTGTCATGCCTAATTACACCCACAGACGAGAGATTCCCAACCCTTAATCTAGTTTGTTCAAAGAGCGCTCCCTCCATAAGTGCTCTCTTTATTTTGAAATCCCAGTATTGATTTGGTCAGCCATAAATATAGTCACCAACCAGCTCTTGATTGTTGCAGTGTTCACAGTGTTAACCCTTTTGCTTAGTCAAGATGTGGAAGGGATCAATTCTATACACAAGCAGTTAGTGTAAAGGAAGCTGGTGTAAATTAAGTCAGCTTAAAGTTACACCAGATCCAAACCCCATGAAGCAAGGAAGCTGTCACTGACTGATCCAGCCTAGGCCTGGCAGATGGAAAACAAGCCTTTAAAATGTTTGAGTTACACCAGCCTTTTTGCCAGGTTAATATACTGGATTGCCAGACTGAGATGAGGGGTTTACGATCCAGCTGAAGCCCCCCACCCCCAATCCTGCCGCTTCCTTGCCTGCCCCAAATACCCCTTTTCATGGCTTACACCTGTTCAGGATCCACTGGGCTCAAGTCACTCATCTGGTCCTGACTGGGCTGAGATGTGGGAGATAATGCTGAATTGAGGGTGAGAGAGGTAAGCCCAGTTTAGCCCAGCTGCACCAAGAACCTTCCAGCTCAGCTGCAGATCACCCCCAGCAGATCCTGCTATAGGATTTCTACATTATTGTATCAAATCATGCTTTTTATAGTTGAATGTTCTAGAACTCTGTTGTTCAACCTTGGATCCCATGATGCTGTTGAACTACAACTTTTGCAATCCCTGGCCATTTCTAGAATATACCCTAAAGCCTGACTTGGGATAAGACACCTCCTGTATACCTACGCTGATAATATACATGGTATAATCCTGTTGAGTTCAGGTTCCCAATATAGGATTACAAATCCTGAATAATTAAAAGAATAAAGATTTAAATCCCCTCCCCTTAACATAAAATTGTTCTATGAAAGCTTTTATTTATAGTCAGCCTGTTTTTTTAAAATTACCTTTGGAATTTTAAATTTAAAACTGTTCTAAACAGTTGGAATCCATTTTCTTGTTTATCTTTTGAAGATGTGATGAGTAGCTGTTCAGGTTTTTTCTTTTTTTCAAAGCATTAATGAAAGAAAGTTGAATAGGGCAGATAATTATTTCTGTAAGTGGGAGGGGAAGAGATCTGAGCAGGAATGCTTCAAGCATTTTCAGCCTATTGTCCTCCATGATTGACTTGCTTTCCCAATGGAGCTATAGACTGGCAGTTTCCTTTATCTTCCCTGTAATAGTTGCTAAACGGCTTTATTGTGTTTGCCTCTACTGAAGGTACTAAAAGTAAATGAAGATATCTGCTTAAATTGAAGTGATATAATTATGTTATAGATACTTCTTGAGATACCATGTTTTATAGAAACATCACGATGCTGCTGGAAATGGCTCGCCACTTTAATTACACTTAGTTGGAACATAGTATCTCCTAATATGCTTATTTTTTCCTTTGTCTTTGTAAAATGGGTGATGCCACTCACTTGCTCCTAATAATATCTGGAAGATTTTAGCATGCAGTCAAGCTACTCTGATTTATGTTGACTGGGATATCATTTTCCCATTTAGAGTCAAGTGTTTTAGTTTCACTAGGCATTTTAGTTTTCATTATCAGTATTAATAAGTGAGTAAGCTTATATGCATTTTCTTATTTCTCTGTTCCTGGTTCATGGAGTAGTGAAATCATTGCATCTCATACAACAGAGTAAGAAAAGAGTTAAGTGAAGAAGCTAATTGTGGACTTTAATGTCTTTTTTGTGTCCCTTTGACTTTAGTGGAACCTATTCCTTAGTCAGTGTGCCTAGGATTGCAACAATGGAATGACCTGGTGAATTTCCTGTGAGGAGACTATCCTTCACATTCTCAACTTCTGCTTTCAAGGAATACCATCTTTTCTAAAATCTTGTAAGGTTTGCATCCAAGGAATTCCTAAATGAATAACATTTCTCTATATAGAATACAAGTACATGTAGCTTGTTATATGTAAAGTTCATATAAGTGTGTAGCTTTATGCAGGATAGGTATTGGCATGTGGTATATTTAGGCAACTGTAGGTGCCCTCAGATCCACCACTAATGCCTGCTCTGGGCTCCCCTATTTAAAAAATCTGGCTCAGTGTTCTGAGCAGTGCTATGTCAGTGCAAATTACTGTTTGCAACATTTGCAACCTGAGACATAGTGCTGCTACCTGCTACTTCCAGGTAAGCTTATCAGGACTCACTTGACAGAGAAGAAGCTCACCAGTGGGTATTTTGCTCAGGGCCCCCTCCAAGACATAAGCCACCCCGGTTTTATGATGTACAAGTATGCTTGTAAATTGATGTAGAGTAGTTTGCATGTGAGTTGACTTTTGCTGGTACAGTTGCTTCCATGTGCACCATGTTTAAGAATTAAAATGAAGTAAAAGGCAGCTCTCAGGCTACCTCATTAATCTGTAAGTTGCAGTATGAGGAAGTGTGGACTAATTTGTACTCCTTCATTCCACTTCACAGTGTGGTGCAGAACAGTGGTAGCCAACATGTTGCTCTCCAGATATTGTTGGATTCCAACTCCAGCCAGCATGACCAGTGATCAGGGTTGGTGGGAGTTGTAGTCCATCAACATCTGGACAGTACCACATAGGGTACCGCAGTCCAGGAGGTGTAAATCAGAACATTTTGCTCCCAAATACAGAGTGGACAAACTTCTCCCTACTCCTAGTTATAGCCTTAGTCATTTAACAAACATAGAACTTTAAAAAAACCCTCTGTCGTTTGAATGTTATAATGGTGTTTGTTCATGAGATGGCAGTTTTTTTAGAATACATTTTAAATACTGATTGTGATAAAAAATATTTTAGTAGATATGGGTAAGTAGTTCTTAAAACTAGGTCTTTAGTTCCAGGCTCTAAAGTAACTTAATGGGTATGTGTTTGGACACTTAATAATTTTAATTAGCAAGTCAGAAGAGGATTTCTGCTTTCTGGTATTTGGTTGGATTTATTTTCAATTTATTTAAGCCAAATTGTGTGGTTCTTCCCCCTCTACCCTGCTGTTTGAATGCTTTTCTGTTTCTAGGGGCCAAGGATTGGATTTTTACAGTGCGACAGGACTTTGGGGATTTCAGTTTCCCTGTGGTGAAATTGTAGGAAGAATCTGCAGTTCAAATGAAAAAAATGAACCAGCATGGTTGGATGTGCAATGCTTTTAATACCAGTTGCTGGGAAATGTGAGCAGGGAGAGTGCTGTGGTGTTCATGTTCTGCTTGTGTTCTTCCTGGAGGTATCTTGTTGAGAATAAGATACTGGACTAGATTTACCTTTAATCAGTTCCATCAGGACTGTCCTTATTTTTGTATCCCCAGATTTGTATGTTTTCATACCCGTGTACATAGCCCATCTGCTTGGAATTTTTTCTATTCCCAGCTCCAAGTTTCCACCTTCTATTTATGCTAGCCTTCTATAGTCCTCTAGTTTGAGAGCACTGGGGTGTTGGGTGGAAATATAGTATGAAGTGCTAATGTGTATTTTAGAAAGTAAGGTTTTATTTTTGACTGCCTTAAAACCTCTTTCACTTGCAAGTATACAGCAGTAAACAGATTTTGTGGTTACTAGTTTCAATTTTCAACCTAAAATGTTGGTTTTGGAAGTGTTGCATGTGATCAGTATCATAAAAATGCACGAGAACCTGCATAATTTGTTTAAAAACAAATTCTCAGATGGGGACATGGTGTTTTGAAGTCTCACCTTTTTCTTTTGAGTATATATACTTACTTTGCCAAATCTTTATTAGGCAATACAAAAATATAGGCCATCATTAAACATCCATATATAAAAGTTTAAAATATATACAAATAAACAGCTATGTAAAAAAAAAAGATTTCCAAGTCAATACCAACAGATCTGATTTTGGAACTGTCTGGATTTGTGACAGTCCTTAAGTCAGAAAGCAGACTTGAAGGTTGGGAATGGAAATGGCAACGCAACCAGTATTTTATTCCATTGTGTGAATACCTGGTTCTGCACACATTGTCTCATACTTGATTGAACTTGGGAGCCCCAGGATATGTCTCAAGAAACTTGAGTGTATCTTATCTAAATCACTATTATATGCTTGTATCCATATTGGGATCCCAAAAAGTAGCTGGGATGATACTTTTGCTGGTATAAATTGGTTACCTTTCTGAAAATAAAAGTGAACTACCACTTTGCCTGTTTTATAGCACTTGTGTGATGGTTTCACTAACCTGAGTTGCTCTGGAATAAAATTCCGAGATATCTGTGCACCTTTACTTGTTGGATTTCTTGTCCTCTTATTTTCCATTTCTCTAATTTCTGGAAATTAGAGAAGACCAGAATTTTTGCCTTCTCATAATTTATTGAGAGTTTATTGGGTTTTTGAGAGTTTATAGGAAATCAGGGAGAATAAAAGACGTTTCAGACTTATCTTCATCAGTGATAATAAGACTGCATCATCCGCATACAGTAACAGTGGGACTGGACTTTGTTTGATTTTGGGGGCATGTGATTCTTTCTTTTTTTTTAATGTGCTCTGAAAGATCTGATAAAAATAAAAAAGGGGAGCAAGAATACACCCTTGTTTTACACCTTTCATATTAAGGATGTTAGAAGAGAGGTGACCTTTGGCATTGTGTTTGATTTGACAGTTGCTAAAGGAATATAAATTCTGTGTTAAGATCAGCAAGCATTGATTGATTCCTAACACTGCAAGCTTCTTCCACAATATCACACGAGAGTATATATGAAGGGGGAAGACATCTTTAGACATCAGTAATCTTACTACAATGCATGATGAGTGAAATCTACCTATATTTTTCTATGTTTAGCTTCATAAAGCAGATTGAATTTGTGTGTGTGTTTCTGTGGTGCAGTGTGTAGGACAGCTGGACTCCAAATTTTGGACTACAGCACTAATGGACCAGTAAAATAAATTTAGGCTGCTTTGATGGGTCTCTTTTGTCATGGCAATTGTCCCAGCAGCTTATTATAGTCAATAAGCTGAGAATTATCAACTTGTGATACCATTATATGTCAACCTTGTTCAACTGTCATAAAAATAATCTGCCCTGGCACTAGTAGTATTAATAAGCTTTTGATATTAGCGCCAGTAAGTATTTAATATTTGGAATAGTGGTACGAAACACACACACACACTATAGATTAATATCTCTCAGAAATATTACAGATCCCTTTGTTACGTGTATTTTATGCATAGTATATTGAATTTAAATTCTGGAGCAAGCCCCGAGTATAAATTCAGTTGTTCAGGTTGATTGCAGCTTATGCGTATTTTACTTAAATGATTTCCACATTGCATTGATTGTGAATAAATTAATAAATAAACAGAATGGGGGTGGTAGGCTCCTGCGAGAGCTTGTGATATTATTTATTAAATTTTTATATCGGTCTTCATCTGTAGATCCCAGGGCAGTTTACAACATAAAATACAAAATGCGTAACATAATAATAATAAAAATATCTCCCCTCCCCCCAAAAAAATCCATTTAAAAGGTCATAGATTGTTTAATCAGCCAAAGATCTGGTTGAGAGGAATATTTTCACCTTGCCTCTTGGGGCAAGGTGGATTGACCCAGTTTTAATGTACATTAACTAAAATAAGTATTATTGAATGTATTGCGATAGCTCAGTCAGTGGAGCTTGAGACTCTTCATTTCAGGGTCCTGGGTTCAAGCCCCACGTTGAGCAAAAGATTCTTGCATTGCAGGGCTTTGGGCTAGATGGCCCATGTCCCTTCCATCTCCACAATTCCATGATTCTATGATTCTGTTATAAACACAAATCAAGCTTTAAACAAACAAACAAATAGCTACAGTGTGCAGGCGGAAGAAACCAATGCAAAAAGATAGACCGCATAGGTGATGGCAAAGTTGTGCATGTTTAGTGCAAGTGTTTGGTTATATTGTTGTGCCCCTTTTTTGAACTTGGGCTGCTGCAAAATTCTACTCCAAGCGGTATGTAGGGCACAGTTTGATGATTCCACCTGAAAAGATGAGTAAGTGCAGTTATTGATGTCTTCTTGCTAGAACTGAAACATTTCCAGTGCATTCCAGTCTCCCGCCTGGATGAATCATCTGGTCATGCTGTTTTGTAGGTACAGTGGTACCTCGGGTTAAGTACTTAATTCGTTCCGGAGGTCCGTACTTAACCTGAAACTGTTCTTAACCTGAAGCACCACTTTAGCTAATGGGGCCTCCTGCTGCCGCCGCGCCGCCGGAGCCCGATTTCTGTTCTTATCCTGAAGCAAAGTTCTTAACCTGAAGCACTATTTCTGGGTTATCGGAGTGTGTAACCTGAAGCGTATGTAATCTGAAGTGTATGTAACCCAAGGTACCACTGTATAGTGTCTGGCACTATTATAAAAAAGAACCAATGGCTCTGCATGACCAATAATGAATCACATCTGCTTGAGAACATCGAAAGCCTATATATGTAGTATTAAAGCCAATTGTGTTTTCTCTTACCTAGGTTTTCCTAGCTGACTTCAAACCATTGTTTCAAAATGAGGAAACCCTTCAAATCAGTGCCAATGTAATGCAACCCAGTGGCATTTTGAGGACAGCTTAAAACATGTTTCCTAGGAACAATTATAATTGTATTCAGTGTGCAGGGAATACAGTTAGCACTGGATGTAGGGCTGGTCATGTAATGCCAGGCTCTGTGTTGACATTATACATGACCCAATCCAGTCATACTGGTTTATTGACAGCAGGGGCACTATTCTTTTTGGGCCTGTGGCCACATTTGCAAATTGTGGAAACTGTTGTGGGTGCCTAATTAGATAAGGGGAGACTCCAGAAAAGGTCCTTCAGGCACAAGTGCACCTGTGGGGTATCATGATCCCTAACCTACAGGAAATCTGAACTGTTGGTTGACCAAGATTTGATTTGAATTTAGCTGTTTCTCCTGATTTTTTTTCCAACTAGAAAAAAATACATGCATATTTATATATCTCTCTGTATTATGTATCTCCTTTGGGAGTTTATTTTGAAACTTGCTTTTAGTTGTTTTTATTGTATGTTTCTAAATCACTTTAAAACTTATGTAAAAGGCAATTTGTATAATAATAATGATGATGATGATGATGATGTGTGGAATTCATGCTCTACCCTTTCTTAATCCCAGTAGCCAAAAACAGTATAAGAAAGTTCCCCAGCTAAAATTTTAAGATTACATAGAAGCAAGTCCCAGGGAACTAAATGGGATTATTTCTGAGTAGATGTTCATAGTGTTGCACTGTGGAGCCAAATCAATTATTGGGTGTTGTGATAATTTTGACTATATATATGTGGAACTAATTTTGACTGTCAGTGAAGTATAAAGAAAATTAGCGACATACTGCAGTAATGTACTTCTCATATCCCTAAGTGGTGAAGAGTCCACTTTGGGGAAATATGGAGTATGTAAGAGTTGATTTTGCAAGGAATTAATGCAGTGAGCAGAATCCAAGTCTCCCTGAACAGACTTCTTCTCACACAATGTGACTTCGCCTTCATCCCTATGAAGTATCCTCCAAACCTCTGGGGCAGATTTTGAGATATAGGTGCAAGGAGAGGAAAGAATGAAGAAATCTCATTACCTAAGTTGAAGTTATTTCTGATCTCACATGAATGGAGTGTGATGACAAACAATGGCATGTGGTGAAGCAGGAGGTAACTAATGAAGTTTGTGAAGACAGGAAGAGAGTATGAAAAGGACAGGAATTCATTTGTGTGCTTTGGCATTATGTATGAACTTACTTGATGCCATGGAAAAAAACTCAGGGTGAGCCAACTTTAGCAAAGTTCACTACCAATTTATAGAAGGTAAAAAAGAAAGAAAATGTTAACAGTATTCTTTAGACTAGAAGAATGGCAGCTGGCTCCTGCCTTGTGCCCACATTCGGTATTAAAAAATAGCACCATTGTATATATACTAAAATTATTTATACCTCAGTTATATTCAGCAAGGCATTTTGATGCTAGCTGTACTTGGGTGGTACAGACTTTTTGGCAAGTTCACTTTTAAAAGGCTGTGTTTATTATTGTAATTTTATTTATATTATGTTGTTTATGAATATTCTATATGAATCAAGTTTCTTGTCTTGAATCAATTAGAAGGTTTATTTTTATGGTAGAAAACACATATCTTAAATATATAAATAACAGAGAAAGAACCCATAACATATGCTGTAATGTTTTTATGCTTATATATTATGTCATTATACATAAACCATAAAATCTTGTCATAGGCCAGCCCAACAGAAATGTTCAAAGCAATACATTCCTATGTGGGGCTGCCCTTGGGTCTAGTCTGGAAGCTTCAGCTAGTGCAGAATGCTATGGCCAGACTGGTGATTTTTTATTAGATTGTAACTTATAAGAACATTATTACACATCAAATAAAATATCCCATCCTAACCCGGAAGATGGTGATTAAGCAATATCCTCCAACATAATATCCGCATAACATAATTTAGTTCCCACCCCAGACAACCATTTGCACGGAAAGCAAACCAAAGGGAGTCTTCTGATTTCCTTTTCACCCATATAACTTTTCACGCAGAGCTATATCAGTCAGTTGCAAAAGAGTCTTTATTCTTCAAACCCTGTTCCTATTTTATTTTATTAGTCAGTTTTTCCACAAGTGCTATTTGCTATACTTTATTGCACCAATTTGTCAAAGAAGCACTCTCCAAATTATTTCAGTATCTCATCATTATTAGCCTGGCTGCTAGGAAGAAAAAGAACATATTAGAGGTTTTAACCGTTAGTATTATCTCCCGTGAAAAGATTGAGTGGGATCAGCTCTGAACATTTGGGAGGGGGGCTGTCTGCTAATTTCCCATTCTGAGCTTGATAAGTGTGCATGACCCAAGGCCAAAGAAATAGGCATAGTTCTGTGTTGAGTTATGGCCTTCATCTGTGGGGTTCATATACTGATGGTGGTATCCTATGATGAAATGCATCATATCCTGTGCTCTGTTATGGTGATATGGATGGGCCAATTGGTAATGTGGAGATAGCTATTTTATTTCTTTATTTCCATTAAAGTCAGTAGAAAGAAACTCCTACTGTGCAATGTTAATGGGGGTTGTGACCATGGATTGAAGAGGTATGGATATTTATGTATTCATGTATTTATTTATTTCCCACGATTTCCCCTGATTGTACTCAAGCCAGCTTACAGATAAAAATAAGAATCTACATCAGGGACAAGAGGGGAATAAAGATCAACATCAGGAATGAAGGAGGAATAAAGAGCTAATCTGGGAACAAGGGTGGAAAGAGACCAGTAGCGTCTCCTTCCACTGTAGCATTATGGTGGTGGGGCTGCTAAAGAGGCAGCAGATCAGGTGATGTGCTCCTTGGAGTCTGGATCTGCTGCCCCTGTGCATTCCACTGCCTGAGGACTTCACTGAGTGACCTCACCTTGCCTCATGGGTGCGCCAACCTTGAGATTGCCTCCATAGTTGAGTAATTTCATGGACCTTTCATGGTGGCATCCAAGTGGCTGAGAGGGGGAAAGCTAGGTACAGTTGGTTGCGCATCATCTTTTGCAAAATTGAATTATTGTGTACCAAGGCTGCATAGAGAAGTGGCAAGGCTTATGAGCTTCATCCTCAGCTTTGACAAGAGGCTTTTATACCACTTGTCATTTCTTTTAGTTAAAATGAAAACTATAAATGTACAAAACATCCATAACAATATGTCAGATGCACAACATAGTCATAATAGATAATAACAATAATTAGCAAAATGCCATTACCAATGGACACTGCCTATTTAATTTGCATTTATGTTGTTTTGCTAAAAATAACTCATTAGTCTGAAAACTTATCAGATCATGCTAGTAAGGCAAATGCTGTATGCTTATTAATACATGTATCATTGTTTCATGTTGTTTCATGTAGTTAATAAATTACATTCATAGTTTCTCAAATGTTTCTTTCTACAGTATTGTGTACTCTTTACATAAATGAAGAGATTGTGTTAACCTTTGGAAAAATGTGCCACATTTTATTAATCCATTATTTAAATATACATAGCCTGCAGTGTAGGGGATTCTTCAAACTTCTGAAAAGGTGGAGCGGAACGTTTGTCACTCTCAGCGCTATTCTGCGAACGTAAGGTGCTTGATGGAACTAGATAATGTGCTATTAGTGCTGACCGTTCCAGGACTAGCAGCTAAATGCACAAACTGTTACACAAATGGGATGGGGAAATGGCTTTTTCAAGGTGAGAAAACACACTTATAAGCACACTAATTGTTTTAAAACTCAGCACATATCCGAGACCTCTACAAAGGTTAAATGGTTATCTGTTACTGTAGAGAGGGTAACAGAAAAATTAAAATAAAATAAAGGGACACAATCTGCGCATTCGTAACTGTGAAGATTGTATGAATATTCCCTAAATATTGTTGAGCATTTCTACCATGATAGATCTGAGCCTAGCTGTGGCAGTGTGGGTAATCTGTTGGAGAGGGAGGGTCAGAACTATCATGTCAGCTGAAATGTTGGGGTCTTATTTTCTCGTCTCTTCTTATCAAAGTGGTAATCCTTTTAGAAACACCTTCTGATTTGTAGGGCATTTTGATAATGTTTTTGTTGGATTCCTTAGCATATATTTCCAGATAGGTTCATAGGAGTAAGTATAGTGGATTCAGATGATACTTGAAACAAGTAATAATGATTCAATAATCTGAGACTAGTTCTAGACAATAAAATTCCAGGCATGTCGTGCAGCAACCTTAGTGGCTACAAGTGAAACATGTCAGGCACTCCTCTTTCTTTTGTTGTGTCAGTAACTCTACAGGCATCAGCATGCAAGGCAAAACTGGCAAGCACCCCACTCCCTTCCAGTAACTATTTCTGTATAGGTGATTTGTATTCCAGTCTTCATTAAAATCAGTCCCAGAATGGGGTACCACATAAGGTTATGTAATGCATCATCTGAGGCCCTTCTTTGTGTGCCTCCTCCATGAGAGGTCTGGAGGGCGGAAACATGAGAATGGACCTTTTTCTTGCAGTGGCTCCCAATTTATGAAATGCTCTCCCCAGTGAGGCTCACCTGGCAACTTTGGTTAACATTTTATGGCTTTTTAAACGTGTTTGTAGGAGGGAGGGTTATTGGTTTTTGTTTTATTATGTGGTTCGTGTTCTCATTTTGTGTTTTTATGTTGCAAGCCACTCTGTGATCTTTGGATGAAGGCCGTATACACATTTAATTAATTAATTATAACAACAATATTAAAAAAATAAAACCACAGCAACAAATTAAATTTACACCACAACACTGGATGAGTGACAAAACATCTCCAGCCAACCAACCGAATTCCTCTTCCGTAGCAGTGAGGATGACTGTCTTTGTCACTTTCTCACTAGGACATCTAATTTTATTGTTTCTTGCAGCTTCCAGACATTCTTAATGTCTGAGTTGGAGTTCACTTATTTTGGAATGCAGAATAAGATGGTCATCAGATGGTCAAGATAATAGCCTTGGGGTGGAGGTGGGGAAACAAAAGAGTTGAAGCCAGTCACCTGCTGAAGCCCTTGCTGCAAAAATTGCCATTCTCACGACAATTTTATTTTTTGTTCTATGACTACTTGCGTGTACGTTTCTAAAGGACATGCTGATGACTGCAAATTTGGCAAGGAATATAAGTGTGTTTCTCCACTAGAGTTGCAAAATGAACAGAATGGAGACTGCAGTCTGGTTACTGGTATATAATAAGAATAACATCGAAGCTGATATGACACCTCATACTTCTGTAATTATTACTCTGGCAGCTTTCCTAATGCATCTGTAATGATTTACTTCTGAAGAGCCATTCTAGTTACAGAGTGTGCTAGAGCTATTCAGCGTTTAGAATTAGTTTTCACATAATGATTGTTGAAGTTGGTCTCTTACAATTTAGGTCAGGGAAGAATATGTGTGCATACTGAAGTAACAGCTTGCAGGCCCTCAAGGTAGGCAGATTTCTAAGGAGAGAATGCAGAAAGTATTGTATAATACTTTGTTCATATCTTTTGGGCAAAGGAATGGATTAGGAAAGTGCTGCAATAATCTCTCTTTAAACTACATTTTAAAAATTGGAAGTGTATTAATCTATAAAGTTTTGGGAGACTGAAGTTATTTAGTTACTATTTTAATTTTTAAAATTGTATTTATTGACTGTCCATCAACATATATTCCAATAACTGACCAACACGTAGCATGTCCGTATATTACAAAAAAATGCAAACTACTGTAGTAATCACAACATTAAATTTGCTAAAACCATAATCATTTCAGAATATCGCCTCCTGAAGAGATGCATTTTCAAACTCTGGTGGTAACTAGCCAATTAGAAGGCAACTCAAATCTCCTGGCAGAGATCATTCCAGAGCTGGAGCACCACCACCGATAAGGCCCTAACCTGAGTCACCATTTTATGAGCTTAATGCAATGGCAAAACTATCAGCAGGGGCCCCGCCGCATATCTTAACTTATTGGAAGGAGCACTTCTTCAAGTATTTGGGTCCCATATGATCAAGTTCTTACAGGTATTATGAGGCACCTGTAGTAGTGCCAATTCTGCTATCAAAGCTGTGGAAGTGGGCACACATGGGGTAGGGTGATCTTATAGGTTAACTGGTTCCAGGCTGTCAATAGTATAGAAGTATGAACTCGGCCCAGCAGCAATTCAGCAACTGGTGCAGACCTCTGAGCACAGGGTGTTACTTGCCAACAAAGCCTCCTTCCCACATGTCTTAGTCATGGATTGCCATGAGCTGTTGTAAGCTTTACTTATTTATACTTCACACAAAAAATTATACATGCTTGATTGTAATAAAATTTCAAAGCAGTGTATGGAAAGAGTAAAACTACAAATATCCGTTAAATACAGCTATAACATTCAAATTATTGTTAAAATCAATGAAAAGCTAGAAAAAAATTAAAATGCCTCAACATGTTGTAGAAAATAATGGTGTTGTTGTTGAAGAACAATGTTTACTTCTTATTCTGCTTACACATAGTCACAGCAAGCTTCAATGGGGTGCTTTCCATAAGAATGCTGTTTTACTGTACAGTGTTACCTCGGGTTACATACGCTTCAGGTAATAGTACTAGTAATAGTACCTCGGGTTAAGAACTTTGCTTCAGGATGAGAACAGAAATTGTGCTCCAGCAGCACAGCAGCAGCAGGAGGCCTCATTAGCTAAAGTGGTGCTTCAGGTTAAGAACAGTTTCAGGTTAAGAGCAGACCTCCGGAATGAATTAAGTACTTAACCCGAGGTACCACTGTATTCACTTTTCAAAGAAATTCTGTATTTTTGTATGCTCTGGTCTCAAAAATATGAAAAAATCATTTTATTGATTTTCTGATATGTGGATCACAGTTCAGATGTAAATGAAGTGAACCTGAGAATGGAACAGTTGAATTTGAATCATGGAATGTAAATACAAAGTGTGGTGTAGTGGTTAAGAGCGGTGGACTCATAATCTGGGGAACTGGGTTCACATCTCCGCTTCTCCACATGCAGCTGCTGGGTGACCTTGGGCCAGTCACACTTCTTTGAAGTCTCTCAGCCCCACTCACCTCACAGAATGTTTGTTGTGGGGGAGGAAGGGAAAGGAGAATGTTAGCAGCTTTGAGACTCCTTTGGGTAGTGAGAAAGCGAGATATCAAATCCAAACTCCTCTTCTTCTTCTTCTTGCACAGACTTGTGTAGCTCAGGCAAGACTGCAGATGCACTGTTTAAAAAAAAATGGCAGCAACAAACTAGCTAGGTAAGGTGGCAAATAGTGACATGCGTGTCATCAGAACTCTCCGTAACTAATGTTGCTGACAGACTATCCAGATGTTTCATTGTTGCTGGATATTATTTCTGGGTGTGCCAACAGCTGGAAATTCTATGACCATGTCTTAGCTTCTGTGTTGGGCAGCTGAAGAGCAATCTGTGTCAGCTGCAAATGTTTCATATCTTTTTGAAAATTAATAGGGCATAAGCTGAATTTGGTTTGAATTTTTCACTTGGAAATATATACATACATACACAGTCCTAATCCATGCAGTATTGGACAACTGAGAGAACTGTGTGATATGCATGTGCTTTATTATGTTAAACTGACAATAAATCCCAGGCCAGCTCTTTGATACTGGGTAGAAATTGATAACACCTTATGACTTGTAAAGAGTTTACATTTGATTTATGGAAGATTATAGAGAAGTAGCATCAGCAGCTTTCCATGTTCCTTCTGTCCAAACACTGTTCAAAGCCATAGTTGGGTGTCTTACCAGCTATTCGTTCCCATAGAGAAAAGCATAGTTCTTTAAGGCATCTTTCTTAGAATCATAGAAGGGACCCAAGGGTCATCTCATCCAACCCCCTGCAATGCAGGAATTTCAGCTAAAGCATCCATGACAGATGGCCACCCAATCTCTGCTTTAAAACTTCCAAGGAAGAAGAGTCCACAGCCTCCCAAAGGAGACTGTTCTTTATTTCCCCCTTTCTTTTTTTTTGCACAGTGCCAGTGAACTGGTGTCAAGGTCTCACTTGAACAGTTTAGGATTGACTGGCAGGGCAATGGGTTTGTTTTACAAACAAGAAACTATTAAGTGTTCATTTTAGGAAACATAACAATAGGGAAGATGGCAGAAAGTGGTGGTGCATGTGGTGTAAAGGAGAAGCTTTGTGCCTATGCAGAAATAAGGAAATATTTCGAAGCATTTGCAGGATGTTGCAGGATCTTTACTGTTGCATTACAGTAAGATGCCTTTGACCCAGATCCACCTTGTGAAAACTTCAAGATGACTGAAAGCAATCATTTTTAGTCTCTAATAACTCTCCTGAGAATGTCACTATGCCACCATATAGCAGCATTTCTAGGGGAATTCTTTCCCAGGAATTTGGCCAGAGCATCAGTAAGGCTCTCTTGATCTAAACCATGGGTAGGCAAGCTAAGGCCCAGGGGCCGGATCCAGCCCAATCGCCTTTTAAATCCGGCCCGCAGACTGTTCGGGAATCAGCGTGTTTTTACATGAGCAGAATGTGTCCTTTTATTTAAAATGCATTTCTGGGTTATTTGTGGGGCACAGGAATTCATTCATTTCCCCCCCCCTTCGAAATATAGTTTGGCCCCCCACAAGGTCTGAGGGACAGTGGACCGGCCCCCTGCTGGAAAAGTTTGCTGACCCCTGATCTAAACAAAAATAATGAAAATGTGTTTTGGAGGGAGGGATCCTCAGCCACTATGCAGGATAAGACAATGAGCATAACCAATTCCCAAGCAAGAAGCCCTTAGAGCTGTAATTCTGCAAACATTCTAGTTAGCAAGAAAACCCAGCAGAATATTCAATAAAAAGTGGCATATAGGGACTAGGAATGTCAAGGAGGATTGTAGTACTTCCCCCATTTATTATCTTACCAAAACGTCCTGTTGTTGTTGTTGTTGTTGCTATTCTAAATCAGAGCAATATAGGATTTTGAAGAAATTTAAATGTTTTTTTAGCTTGGGGGGGAGGGTGTAGTAGAATCTTCCACTGCCATGCTTCTCCATTGGCAACATTTTGAACACTTTCGCATGTTACAAAGCCCATGATCCAACAGTCTTAGAGTTTTCACAGAGATGCAGGAAAACATAGAGCTATAAGGTCAGAAAATAACAGAGCAAGAAAACAATAGGAGGCTTTGTGAGGACCCTAATTTGACTTTGGAACAAGTTATTGGCATCAATAACTTCAACTCAAGAGAGCGTTAAGGCCCACATATCACCCTGATTCACATTGTTGCTTGTCCCAGACAGAGAGCAGATAGAAACCCCTAGTTTTTACAACTTTATTCCCTTTTATATTTGAAGATGCATTTGCACCAGGAACAAAACTCATCAGTTAAACTATTAGCAAAGGTTATTTATTTCTTTTTAAAAAGTTTCTTCTTTTCAAATAACAAGGCAAAGTATAATTAGCATGACATGTGCCCAACAAGGCATGAATAAATAGATTTACCAAGGAGTCAAGCTCTCAACTGCTTGATGCAAGTTGTGCTGTACTCCTGACAACAACACCAAGCACACTGTCTTTGCTACTAAAATTGCCACCAATAATAAAATGTCTTGGATGTATTACAAAACTCTTAGCAGCCATCGCCACCAAATTACACGGGGTCATTTGTATGACTCTACCAAAAATGCCAAGCGATGGGGAAGACCTACTTTAATGCCTTGAACCCTCTCTTCCTCAGCCAACATTCTAGCTCAATGGTTCTAAAACTCTTTTTTTCTTGGCCGCACTTTTAGAATAAAAATTGGCTCACGCCAGACCAATTTTTTTTATTGATAAGAAGTATATTGGGAAACAAAGAGAAACAACTCTTAGCAGTGCTTGATTTATAACCTAGAACACAACTACTTTATAATCGGATCATGGGACACTCAGAAAGTATAAAACAATGTAGCTATGTAAGAACATGAATCATTCCCAAAATATAATGATAAAGGATCCCCTTACATATGTATTTTTAAGTATATATACAAATTCAGTGAGAGGTGTGAGCTTCCTTTTGCTGGGTAATCTCATGTATATTAGGTCTAATTTGAAACGGACTCTTTATCTCCTCGTTAACACAAAAAAAACCCCATTCTTTTTTCTGATCTTGTCGGAGTTGAAAATCCCTATTCACAGCAATAGGTTGTGGAGATCTGTAGAAGAATAGCCAGTGCTCTTGAATATCTATCCATATTCTGTAATACACAAACACTAGACTAGACTAGACTGGACTAAAATGTTTAAATATTTCTTTGATTGTCCTTGACTCTTCCCAACCTACTTCCCATCCTCTTCTACACCAGTATGGTGTGCCACATCCTTTGAGAACCACTATTCTAGCTTCTGATTTGCTAATCTGAACATGAATCCCTTTTACAAAAGAAAAGGGGGTACTTAAACAATTGGGCCAGTTGCTTGCTTAAAACATGACTGCAGGTTGATCCTGCTAGACAGAAATTCACTCTTCATCAGATGACAAATTATAAGAGAAGAAACAGATAAATATAGCATAAAAATATCTAGACAGATTCCTCCACAGTGTTGGTAAAAATGGTTGCCAAACAAGGCTTCAGTTTACATGTTCTTAAAGTCATTACTTCAGGCCATTTCACACGTCAAGAGGACATATCTTCAGGTCTTTGAATAGCCCATCAGTTTGCTGTGCAGCCATCAGGTATAATTCAGCACAGATGGGTGGGAGAAGCTCTCCCTCCTTTTTAAAAATAAGACATTTTACTTTTGTAAACAAGACCATAGCCCCCCACCTTCTGGATTGGTTACAGCAGGACAAGCCATTAATAAAATAATGCACTGGAGCTGAATAATCACACCTCCGCCAGAGAAGAAAACATATTAGCATTTAAATTAAGAATCCTGAGAGGGCTAGGCAGAGTAGACAAGGTGCACAAAAACTCTTTGAGGGATCGTGGTCGAGAAACAGTTATAGTACAATGGGCCACTCGGTGTGAAACACTTGGGATTAAATAAAGTTAATGCAATATTATATATCCAGTAGGTTAACTTTACTTTGCTTACACTTAAAACAAGGTTTGGACAAAAAGAGCCACTTGGACCCGTTTCCGAAGGAAAAAAAACTAGGAGCCGCAAAACCCTTGTGACATTTAAAACAAATATATCTCCAGAGCCGCGATCTGACAGCGGGCAGGAAGGTGACGTCGGGACGGTGCGTGACTAACGCACGCACCGCCCCCATGCGACGTCACAGCCAGTACAGCGCCCGCCACAGTGGGGAGTGTCGGGGCGCACAATGCGCCTCCTCCCCTCGCTAGTATCCACCCCGGAGCCGCGGCAAAGGTGTAAAAGAGCCACATGCGGCTCCGGAGCCGCGGGTTGCTGACCCCTGAACTAGACCAAGATAATAACATCACTTGCCTGAGTTATTTGTGCATCACATTTTATCCTGAATGGAAGAAGCACCTCACTTCGTTGGGTTGTGTTAGGCGAGATCCTCAGTGGAGGCTGGTTCATTTGAGAGAATGGGATACTGTTCTACCACCTTCAATCTGCCATCAGCCAGACTCTACCTGTCTGCTTTCTTTCTTAGGACCAGTGCATGGGATAACACTGCTTGTCAGCTTCCATGTCCTTGGTCTGTGTTGCCCCTAACTCAACAGAGAAAAGATTAGCGATGAAATTGGAAAAAGTTGGCTCCAACTCTCAATGGCTTTGGCTCTGTCTACTATTGATCTCTTTGCCTTCTGTCCTGTTAGTCCCAGTGAGTCCCAACAACCATTGCTTGCCCTTCTTTTCTATATACATTTTAAGGGGGGAAAATGCTTGTAAATTTGTCTATTCATTGAAAATATGTTTGACATAAAATAGCAAAACCATTTCACTACTCCCATTTGCCATCTTATGGATAGGATGAAATGTGTTGGCGGTGTATTTGGATTAAAGGTCCCAGTGTTATAAATATGACACTTGTAAATATGGGCCTTGGATAGATTTTGTATAGTTGAACTGAAAATACATTTTCAAGTTTATTGACATGACACTGGGAGTTCTTTCTAAAGTAAAAATGTGGCATGGAAAGGCATAATCAGAAAAATACTGTAATCCTTAACAAATAATCAAGGCCACAACATAAAAAACTGTCTAGTTTCACATTCACATTGGAGGTGTGTGCGTGTTATAAAGAAGCTACTGTTGGGAAAAAAAACAAGTGTTGCAAAACGTTAAAAATTAATCATCATTTCAGATGTGAGTATACCATGATAGAGGGATCTTGCAGAGTCTTTATTAGAATAAAGTTGTGCCACACTGATAAAAATTAGTCTGCTTTTGATTATTCATTGACTAAATTAATTTGGTGGGTTAGTTCTTGTAATGGTTATAAACTGTATTTTTGAAATACCAGAGATCTAAGCTTACGTCAGCAGTAGTCTTTAATTGTTCTAAAATGGCCAGTCTGTATGCAACAAGCATGCATTTTACCAAAAAGCAAAATTAGAAAACAACAAAAACTTGAGGGGGAACATAATTTTTTTTCTATTTTAATGATTTCTCTTACAATTTTGTCCCAAAATGAGACCACCAAAGGGCATTTCCTCCCTAAGTGAATATACATGCCTCTCTGCTCCAGCTTTCAAAGGATTTTGTGCCCATCATGTAAGCCAGTTGAACTGCAGTACAAAACCATCTGTGTGAAAATCAATTTGAGGGGTTTCTTTTGCCAGACTACTCCAGAGCTCTAGTATTATTTCCCCTCCAATGCCCTTCTCCTGTTTTGACTTAACCCTGTCACTATCTCAGTAGTTGCTTCAATCAAGATGTTATAGATTTTTGGAGACCAAATCTTTTGGGTATTCTCTGTCTCCAATATTACCAGTTCAAAGAGGTTTAGGTACTTGCTCTTTTATTGAAATGCCATACTTGGCGTAGTTAAAGCCATATAGTCAATATGTTTTGTAATACAGTTTTTAATTCTACTTCTGTAAATGACTTCTTATTAGTATGAGCCTGTATTCACCCCTGCAGATTATTGTCATCAATCAATCAATGGTATAAATGCTTTTACATTTTAGATACAGACGAACAATTCAATGACTTCGTAGATAAGTGTTTGTGATGCCCATATTATTTATTTATTCAGTTGTAAATGTTTTGTATCTTTTTAGAACACCAAATATTTATCTACGATGGCCATCTCTACAAAGCTTGCATTTGACATTCCTAGACACCAACATCAAATCTTTAGGAACTCTGTTGTTGCTTTGCTCCTGGATTTTTGCAGCCCTGCTCTACAAAAATGCTGGGAACATTTCCAGGCTGCTTACAGAGTAGGTATGCTGGTAGCACTATTTTAGCAGAAATGAATCAGTCTGCCTGGAAACCTACTTCAAAGCTACAACTGATGATGAGCATATCTGATTTGGGAAAAATGAAAGAGTGGAGTACTTAAAATGTCTTAAATGAAGCAATGTATGGCACATCTAAATGGTAGCTTCTTGGAAGCTATTAGATATGATTTTGCTGCCATATGTATGAAGATTTATATAAAATCTAGTAAATCACAGGGCTCCTCCTGCAAATCTGTCAGGATTAATTTTCTGCTCTGTGAAGCACAGCAAGTGAGACAGTGAAGCCGAATGACATTTTACACAGTATGTGCTGCCAGCCTCTTGATGCCTATGGCAGTGACTGAATCTACAGCAAATGGACTAACAATGGGTCAACAGAATTGATTATATAATTCCTTCTTAAGATTCCTCTCTTTGGAACTTTCACCACTGTCAAGAGGGATGATCGGGGAAAGAGCTGGCGATCTATAAAATCCATTTCATTCAGCATTGTTTGATGGAGGAAGGGTCATAGCTAAGGGACAGAGCATCTTCTTGGCATGCAGAAGTTCCTATGTTCCATCTCATACATCTCCAGGTAGGGCTTGGAGAGACCTCTGTCTGACATCTTGGAGAGCCTCTCCCACTCAGGTGGGCAGTACTGACCTAGATGAAACAGTGGTCTGACACAATGTAGTGCAGCTTTCCATGTTCCCATAATACTATTTCTAAGGTGACTTCTGTACTTCATTTTATCTTATTAGTTTGAACCTAGAAAAATATAGAGAGCATTTTACATGGAATATTTGTATGTTAGGTATTGGTGCATCAGGTGACCATAGGAAACACTTGCCCTGTGGCATATATTAAAATATTATAGTAAAGCAAAGCCTTCAATTAGTTTTAATGATAGTGGACAGCTCCCTCTGCCTGGGATATCAAGTGAATACAAACAGCAGCCAACCAGACATCTCTAAGAAGCCCAGAAGCAGGATGTGACTGCAATAAACCATTCTCCACTGTCCCCTCCCCACAACTAGTATTTGGTGGAATATTGCAGTGTGTCCATCAGGAGTGGTCCTGTTTAGGGCATCACCCAGACACAAACAGGAGCCCTACAGCCAGACCTTGAAGAGATTTGTGACTGCACATCTTTCCTTTTTCGAAACCTCCATGTATATTTTGGTGGGGTGTTTTTTAACCTCATGGTACATATCCCCCAACCCTACCCACCCCCCATCCAGGATGCTACATGCATTAACAAATGTGAGCAAGCCCAATCTCTCCATTTTGCTTTTGTTCTCCAAGTCAATCAAATCTGTGTTCAACATACAGTGGTACCTTGGGTTACAAACACCTCAGGTTACAAACACCTCAGGTTACAAACACTTCGGGTTACAGACTCTGCTAACCTGGAACTTAAATGTAGCTAAAGAGATGTCACAGATACAGTGTCAAGCATTACTAAGTCCAATTTGATATGCACTTTATTTAAAGCAGAGAAATTATCTTTTGTGCAATTTTTTTCTGCCATCACTTTGCAGATAAAAAGAATGGGGGGAAATTATATAGCAATTTTCTCAGCTTCTGTTGACCCTGTCAGCATAGCCCCAATAGTATTTAAACCCTTACATGTGGCTTATAATTCATCCATGATCACTCATGCTGAGCTTAAATTTATAGCTCAGAGAAATTAATCTCTCTCATTAAAATATGCAAGTTTTTATTATGAAAAACTGGCAAATATAAACACCATGAAATCATTTAGACTTTAGGATGCTGTAAATAGCTTCTCTTATTATTCTAACAATAAAATAAATGAAAATATGTAAGATCTAGAGATGCCACTTGGGGGCTGTTTTCAAAAACATCTGCAAAATAAGTAGTCACACATGTTGATGGACAGAGCAATTGTATACTTGAGTTAACCCAACAGAGGGGAAATAAGATTTGGCAGAAGTCCTGATACAGCAGTGGAATATGAGTGGAATAATGCAATGACAGAGACTCTAGTCCAGATACACCAGCAGATCACCTCCTCAGTGTAATTGTTTTCCCAGCAAATATACACTGGCAGATCATTTAGACTTGAAACCAGACTGCCTTTGGAGCCAATATGAGGTTGTTTTCAAACCCAGCTGCCATGTTTTGGGGCATTTTTAGAGGGGGATTTACAATTTAGTGAGAGAAGCATTAAAATCCCCAGTGTGCTGTGATTGCCATGGACCCCCCCTCACTTAATAGAGATTACCGTTGGGATGAGGATGGTTAACCCTGTATTGGGCATGGTGCGGGGGGGGGTGTGCTAAAATGGTTTTGTCAAACCTAATTATTGGGGAGGGATGAAAATGAATGGTGGATAACAATGGATATAAGAGGCATAATAAAAAAATGAAAATGACAGGTACCATGTCAGTGCTTCTGTTGGTGAAGTGTTAATTAAAGGGAAGAATGCCAAAAAGAAAATAGAAACTGTCAAATCTGGAAACAAATAATCAGTGGCATTTCTTGTAAGCTAGGATTGTGACCTATTTTAGTTGATAATTTGTTAATCGCCCTGAGGAAAGTAGTAGGTGTTTATGGGTATAAGAAGTAGGGGCTGCTGGAATTAAGAGATGATGCTGAGGCTGTGTTAATATGACATGAAGGTGGGGTTTAGCTGCCCCTAAACACCTTCCTTTCATCTGCCTCCACGTCACCATGGTAACGCTGTGGTAACTCCAATTACATAACGTTGCTTTGATCATATTTTTTCCTGTGCAATCACTGTGCCCTCTCCCATCCAGCAGCTGATGCTGTCAGGGAAAGCAACAAAGTGATCAGAGGTTCTGTACTTTCCTGAGAGGCAGGAACCAATTGTTCCCATCCCACTTCTTAACATATTAATTGAGCCCAGGTTAGGAGGCACTGGAAAAAACTACACGATTGACAAGTTATGCAAGGTGTACTGGATTCACAGTAAGTCCTCCCAGGAAAAGGGGTGAGGTAAGTAAAAAATCAACTAGTAAATCATCCCTAGTCTGCCTCTCTGGCCCAACACCTGGTGCAGGCCCCTTGAGCCCTACCCAAGATCAAGAGATTTCCTGGTGAAGAAGATGATGCTTCTGTGGACAATAGCAACAGCTACCTCCATGCCCCCATCTAACCTGGAGCTGTACCAGATATGCACAAGTGAGTTGAGTCAAGGCTACCCAACTCACCCATCCAAATCCTGGTAATACATGCCAGGTTAGCCCCTTCCACAACCAAGTTGCAGATGAGCATGGACTTTTTATGGACTCACCTGGCAGACCAGACCAGAGGGCTCAATGGATAAGCTGTCAGTAACTTTTGGAGGAGTAGGCATAGGAGAGTTGAAATGGGGGACAGGAACCAGATGCTTCAGCTGAGTTCTTCAAGACAGTTCTTCTAGAGCAGGAGTTCTCAAGCTGTGGGTCCCCAGATGTTGTTAGACTACAACTCCCATCATCCCTGAGCTCTGGCCTTGTTAGCTAGGGGTGATGAAAGTTGTAGTTCAACAACATCTGGGGACCCACAGCTTGAGAAAGGCTGTTCTAGAGAGAGACTCTCATTCCCAGGAAGATGGTAGTTTGATACATTTCCTTCTGAGTTACTACTTTTGTTTCTATTTAATTTTACTTCAGATACTAATGAATCCTCATGAGTATGTGTGTCACTGTCCCAATAACCTTTATAGAAAAAAAAAGAAGCTGCTTTGAGAGCAGGGGGAATTTAGATCAGAGGAGTAGGGAGATTCGTAACAGTTTAACGTTTAAAATGCCCACCACCTCCTGGCTCCTAAGTTTTCTCCAGTGTCTCTTCCACCTCACAGGCTTCAGATATGTTTAAATACATATTTTGAATGCTATGGTGTGGTGTGGTGGTGGGGAGATGCTTGCAGTGTGATTTGGAGTGGAGAAATGGTGAGTAGGAAGAGAGTTACATGCCCCCTCCTACAGCGGCTCAGCCATTGTCAAGTTAATGCTCCTAAATTGGATTCTATTTTCTTTTCCCTTTTTAAAACATGCATTGTGGCATTGTTACATATGTTTGTGTGTAATATATTCTTTGCTGTAGTCTTTCAACAACAATCTTGTCATACTTGTGTTGGGATCACACTTAACATTCAGAAGAATTGTTATTTCCCTTTTGAACCAGAAAATTAAGACAATGCTACTGCTACCTCTTTGTAATATCTAGTGAATACAGCTTCCTTGAAAATTGCCATGTGTATTCGAGGGTGGGTGGATGAAGTATTTCCACCTGTGAGTGTTCGGATTCTTTAAAAATGTTAATCATGGCTATGTTTAGAACAGCACTGGCTGAATCTTAGCAATTAATGTTGACAGTAGTGTACAAAACTGCCAGAACAATCTCCACATCAGTTGTAACAGAGGATTATGCTGAAAATTCGTCCATGGTATTCTTCTCTTGAATCTAACTGAAAGTGAGGAAAAGCCAAGGATTATTATCATAATACATCAATTTATTCCTAATCTGAAAGTTTGGAACACTGCGGCCTGAAACTTGAGCACATTCTGCTAAAATCTTTATATCTTAACATTTAGAAATTTTAAAATATTAAGAGGGTTAGAAATGCCTTTAAATAAATTTCTGCAAACTTTTTCTACTAATAAAAATTGCCAAACTTTTTAATCTACAAATCTGCTGGAATCATAGCTCAAGTTGATACATACCGATTTTCCAAATACATATTTTTGAATTTCATATGAATATTTAGGCAGGTAATGGATTTAGCTGCTGTTTTTCTTTAGGTTGCTTGTTGGGACTAAATAAATATGTTTATTTTAGTGGCTTGTATCTGAATCTGTCTTGCCACAAGGCAAAGCATATGTAAAAAAACACCTAACTAATGTGTGTGTAGTGATTGTGTATATGCATGTGCTTGTTCTCAAGGTAAGATGCGACTGATATTTTGGAGATGTTTTTACACAAGGTTAGGACAGCATGGGTAGTATATTTGTGAGTCGAGGATGCGCAACCCGCGTAGGGATAAATAAGACACAAGGACACATGTATTTTAGGTTAATGGGCTAAAGAAGACCACAACTTTATTGGTTACAGCATGTGAGTGGTATTGGCTTAGGCATTGGATCAAACAACCTATATATGACCCCACCCCGCGATTATAGTATGTAATTTTTGAACAGTAATGGAGAAAGGGACTACAGCAACAGTAACATGGTAATTTAAGTTGATATGATCTCATAATCTCAAATACTGTGATCTTCATATAGCATATTTACTCATTCATTCATTCAGTTTATATCCAACTCTTTCTCCAAAATGTTTAATGTGATGCATCCCCAAAGTTTTCAAACTACTTCATATATATTACTTCATTAATCCTTAAAATAGTCTGTCATGTAGGCCACTGCAATGTTGAAGGTAGGGTGCTGAGATAGTTATTTGTCTAAAGCAGGCACGTACAACTCTCTGGAGACTGCAATCTACTCCCGGTATAATAAAACTGGCAATTAAGAACCCATTGTTCTTAAGCTTTTTTTAGTGGGAGAGACCAGAGTTGTTGAGCTTTTTTAAAGGAGGATGGAGCTTTGAATATCTTGGCTGCTTCTGCTAGATGCAGTGCCAGAATGTACTGGTACGTGTGGTGATGATGCAGCATATCACCTAAAAATGCAGGCTGACTCCGTAGGTGCGGGTTAGTGGGGGTTGTAGGTCTACCACCAGGGATCCTCAAAGCTGAGGCAAGGATCTAAGAGGCATGCATTGCAATATGAGATCTTGAATTGGATACCTCTTCAGGCCAGTGAGGAGCAGAAATTCCTAGAGACAGGAACCCCAATAGACTGGCTCTGGTTTGTATGAACTAAATATTAACTCTGTGAAACTTGCATTCACTCTTCCTGGTCAACAGAGAACCAGGCAGAGGGCCTTCTTGGTGGTGGCGCCCTCCTTGTGGAACACCCTCCCGTCAGATGTCAAGGAGATAAAGAACTACATAACTTTTAGAAGACGTCTGAAGGCAGCTCTGTATCGGGAAGTTTTTTTTTTAATGTTTGATGATTTATTATGTTTTGATATATGTTGTAAGCTGCCCAGACTGGCTGGGGAAACCCAGCCAAATGGGCAGGGTATACATAATAAATCATTATTATTATTCTAAAATTGTTTAGGTGTGCAGCTGTTCCTTGCACTCCTCTTTTCTGGCTCTTCTCCATTAGTCTTAAGATTTGTCTGGCCTCCCCATTACATATCCTTAGAGTTCATGTTGGTCCCAACTCTGACTCTGAACACTGCCTGAGAACGCTTGCCCAATTCTGTTCTCAGTGCTTTTTATATCTTACTACAGTGGTACCTCAGGTTACATACGCTTCAGGTTACAGACTCCGCTAACCCAGAATTAGTAGCTCAGGTTAAGAACTTTGCTTCAGGATGAGAACAGAAATTGTGCGGCGGTGGCACAGCAGCAGCGGGAGGCCCCATTAGCTAAAGTGTTACCTCAGGTTAAGAACAGTTTCAGGTTAAGAACGGACCTCCAGAACGAATTAAGTTCTTAACCCGAGGTACCACTGTATACACTACAGTTAATGCTATAATGTAGTTGCTATTTTCCACAACCCCAGATCAAGCCAGGCTGGAAAGTCAAAGTGCTGACAGATGTTGAAGTGTGTGCTCTCACATCAGAAAAGTGGATTGTGAGAACTCTAAAGGTTAACAGTTTGGGATGCCCACAAGGCAATGGTGAGATCATTTGTTTTTATTAGCACTTAAGGGGGGTTGATGAATCAGCCCCCATATTGGGATTCACTTGACCTGAGAGAATTAGTTTTGCCTACTTACATTCTGAAGTTTTTGTTTAGTGAAAAATGTCATTGAACAGACTTCTTGACTTTTTTGTTGTAAATAAGCAGAATCTCATAGCTTTGCCAGAAATATATCATGCTATTGAATGATTTCTTTAGATATCATAAGGGGTTCTTTCAGTCCTTTTGTTAAGCTTCTTTAGCACACCTTGAATGGTTTTTGAAGTGAGATCAAGAATAATTTTAATTCCTACATGGCATTTACAGGAGGGAGGGAGAGCTGGGAACACTCAGAAAGCAAACTAAGCTTTGCAATCAGCAAACCATCCAGTTCCTGCATGCGTTTACCACCTACACATTTTTATTGCTGCCCTGCTGCATTGCATAAAAGAAACATGAGTGTGCTGCATGTGAAGCAGAAAAAAGAAAATGTCAACCTACATTATTGGAAAGAATGAGGAGTGCCTGCATAGCACACGTTCTGTGTATTTTACACATAGAATTATTATGTTTTTAAGTTTAAGGTGCTAGCGTCTTGTGACAGTTCTTTTGGTTGTTTATAAGGAAATAATACACTTGATCAAAGAGCGAAAATACTTTGGTCAGGTAGTATTCTGCGTATGAAATCAGATAAAATTAAGTAGAGCAGAAAGTTCTGTATTGGACATATAAAGCCCATTGGATGGAGCACCTCTATATATGTTTGCCTAGGTGCTAGGATTGGCAAGCGAAGACCCTATTTGTCCTGCTGCCACTGGTGGCTTGCTGTGTGGGACATTCAGTAGAATCTGGATTAGGAATTCTGTCCTAGCTAGAAGTGTGGGTGTCTACTTCATTGCTAGGCCTTCCAGTTCCGGGTTAAGACACATCTGTTTACGCAGGCATTTGGTGGGATTTAATTACATTGCCCAAGTTCTTAGAGTTATTAGGACCTGCTGCTGCCTTGTTGTTTTATTGTTCATAAAGGCTTTTCAAAAAATTGGTGTCTTTGTGGGTTTTGTTTTTGTTTTCGTAGGTTTTATAATTTTAATGGTGTTTTCCAGATTGCTTGTGTAATGTTTGTAAACCACTTTGTTTTATGAAGGGTGGTCTAGCAGTTATGTAACTAAAATATATAAGGTTGTCATAATTTGCCTAACAGTTTTCTTCCCTAAAGCTCTCATGTACCACAGTTCATTGTCCATGAAAGCTTACCCCATAATAAATTTGTTGGACTTCAGTGTGCCATCAGACTGTTGGTTTCGTTACAGCAGAAAAAGAAGGGCTTCCCGTAGCAAACAATTCTTTTCATAAAAAATAATAGATACAGGAACCCTTGGCATTCTTATCATTTTCTGATAAATGCAAAGTTCCCTACAATACAAATGTGTGAAGGTTTGAAGCAAATTGGTGTTTGGAAAGGTCTGATAATAATGGGGGACTGCATAGTTTATTTGTTTTTTATTTATTTGCTTCCACTTAGAACTCACCCTTCATCACCCAACAATTCTTACCCAGCAATTCCCTTCAAAATCATAATAACCATTGCAATATAAGAATGCAAAACATCACATAAAAATGCCTCAAATGATCATAACAACACAGCAGGCAACACATCAGTAGGCACCTGGCATTATTACTTCAATTCCACCCAAAAGCCTCAGCAAAGAGGTATAATCGTTCTTACAATTAGTAATATTTTTCATATGGAGACTTATGCAGTGTTTACTGGTAGTGGTAATCAAATACCCAGCTGCTTGTGGGTGACATTTTTCATAGAATCATAGAATTGTAGAGTTGGGAAGGACCTCGAGGGTCATGTGTCCCATCCCCTTGCAATGTAGAAATCTTAACTAAATCATCCATGACAGATGGCCATCCAACCTCTGCTTAAAAGCCTTCAGTGATGGAAAGTCCACTACCTTCTGAGGGAGTCTGTTCCACTGTCGAACAACTCTTACTTATCAGAGCTGTTTTCTTCAACGCAAGTTAGCTTCCTCTCAACAAGATGCCTGAGTGAGGGCAGGAAGCACTGCTCCTGCTGTAGCCCTCACTTTGACCCCATGTGGTACCATGTATCTTTCTGGGCATCAGAATGAACAAAGCGTAACTTGCTCTGATTATTTGTAATAAGAGCCTGCTGAACCAGGCCAAGGACCCATCTAATCCAGCTTCCTGTTCTCAAGGTGGCCAGCCAGATGCCTGTAGAAAACTCACAAGCAGGACCTCCCACCCCCGTGTTTTCCAGCAGCTGGTACTCAGAAGCATTACTGTCTCCTACTTTGAAAGCAGAGTATAGCTATCATGGCTAGAATCCTCCATGAACTTGTCCAGCTCTCTTTTAAAGCCATTCAGTTTGGTGATCATCACTGCCTCCTGGGAAAGCAAGTTCCATAGTTTAAATAAGGCCTGTGTGAAGAAGTATTTTCTTTTCTCTCTGTCCTGGATCTTCTAAAATTCAACTTCACTGGATGTCCGTGAGTTCTAGTATTAAGAGAAAGAGAGAAAGGTTTATTTATCTACAGTGGTACCTCGGTTTAAGTACTTAATTCGTTCTGGAGGTCTGTTCTTAACCTGAAACTGTTCTTAACCTGAAGCACCACTTTAGCTAATGGGGCCTCCTGCGACCGCCACGCCGCCGGAGCACAATTTCTATTCTTATCCTGAAGCAAAGTTCTTAACCTGAAGCGCTATTTCTGGGTTAGAGGAATCTGTAACCTGAAGCGTATGTAACCTGAAGCGTATGTAACCCGAGGTACCACTGTACTTTCTCATACCGTGCATAATTTTAATAAACTTCTGTCACGTCCCCTCTTGCTCACCTATTCTCTGAATTAAAAAGTCCCAAATGCTGCATCTTTTCCTCATAGGAGGCAGAACACCCATATATAGAAAGTTCCTTATCAGTAATCTTTCTCCTCCCCACTTGCTACCAGTGTACACTCCACTCACCTGTCCCCATTACTCTGCCAAGTTGCACAAGTCCTGAACTTTCTGTTCTTGATCAAGTGGAATAGAAGAGCTGGATTGGGATTAGGAAACACCTGCAGCCCTCCCATGTCCATGTAACAGCCTATTGCAATATTTGAATGTGTGCTGAGCCAAGGAGGAGGAAATTAGTATCTGAGCCAAGAGGGACCCCTCCATGTGAGGGTGCTCTGCTCATGCACAGAATATGTTTCCCCTGGGGTTTGACCAGGCATCATCACACTGTTTATGCTTTTCAGTAAATTGTATTTGCTTAAAGTATTAGACATTTCCGGGGGGGGGGGGCGGGCGGGCGGTTTGTTGTCATTTTTTAAAAAATAAATAAAAAGCTTGCTAAATCAATTGATGTAATTGAATCAAGTGCAACTCCCTGATGAGAACCAGCTTATTTTGAATCTAGTTAACCTTCATATGACTTTTTCTCCTAGAACTGCAACATAATTACATTTCAGATTAAGTTATTATGGGCATAATGGGTGACATCTTATCTTACGGAAATAAAACAACTATTAAGGATTATGTATGTGTTGGAGCACATATTTTTAAAGTATCTGTATAAGAGTTGTTAGAGACATAAATCTAAAAATGCCCTGTTGTCTTGACTGGTAGCTTATTTTGTGAAATACTGAAAATGTGTTAGGTGCTGTATGAACTCATGGGGAAATAGTTTCTTCCTTCAACTAGTTTAGTCTTTCAACATTTCTTTTTTAAAAAATTGGAGCTTCATTTAAGCTTTCTCCACATGTAAATTTTGTATTGTCTCCTGTATAACATTTTTTTCCATAATAATAATTTTAAAATTCCTCTTGCAACCAAATTCATAACATTGAGTGCAAAAAATGAGTTGTGGATATAGATCTCAAATGTAGATTCACTCTTCTTATTTGTTTCCCAAATCCCTGATCAATGGGATGGCTTGTGTTACCTAACCCACTCTGTAAAAAGCTATGCTCATAATTCATTTTAATGATGGCATAAGGAACATTAATTATTACTGTATTTTGATGAACGCATTGAGACCTGAGGCACATCAAACATGTAAAAGGAGTAACAAAGAAGAATATAATTATCCCTAATAGACAGAATGTGTTGAAGTAGCATACATTATGAATGTAATATTGTGGTTCAGATATTGTTACTGAAAGTATTTGGTACAATGACAGACAATTTTAAGTACTTGGATACACTTATAACACACACACACACACACACACACACACACCCGTGAAAATGACTAAACTGAATTAAATCCAAGTATTTCAGATCCATTGGGATTTGGCTCAGACTGCATGTTCCTTGGTAGGAGGACATGGATAAAGTATTACGGGAAATAACTATAGATCATGGTATTTCACTTTCAGTAGACTATGACCATCTGACACAAAAAGGCCAGAGTCCACTAAGCATATCTCCTGCATTTCCATTTAGTTTATTTGTCCTTTAGGAAAGAACTATGATTGTCATTGTTGAGATACAGATGTGTATATGTGGGGTGTGTGTGTGTTAAACTTTCTGGTTTTGTACCCCCAGTATGTGAACTGTAAATCAGGAAAGCTAATACCTTTAGCATGGGATTTGTAAACTTAAGTTTGTTTGTTTTAAACAGTGGTTTAATGTGAATATGTAGTGGCCTAACTTAATGTGTCATGTGAACAAGGGAGGGAAAGTGAACCTTGGGGTGAAGTGTCAAGACAGACTCTGGTTTGTTTTGATTATGAGGCAGTAACAGCAGATGTCAAGGAGGAGCACTGTGGAGACTTTTGAACAGCATGCACCAGCACCCTGGTTGTTCTCATAAAATAATTACATTACATCCCTTTATTACACTAATATTCCACCTTTCCTCCAAGAGGCTCAAAGTGGCATACATGGTTTCCCTCCTTTTCCATTTTATGCTGACAACAACCTTGTGAGGTAGTTTGGTCTGAGAAACTGTGACTGGTCCAAGGTCACCCAGCAGGCTTCCATAGCTGAATGGGAATTTCAACTCCAGTTTTCCAGGTCCTGGTCCAAGACTCTAATCACGATACCACAGGTAGGACCTGATCCCGCACAGCAATGGATCATTTTCAGCTCCCTATGCAGGAGTAAAGGGGAAGAATGTCTTCTGTTTAGGTGAGATCAAACTGAACTCCCAGAGAGTTGCTAAATGCAATGTTTGGTGGTTCTTCTGGTGATTCACAGAAGCAAGAATGGGTGGGGGGTGCGATGATGGACGGACAGCATTTTTCTTGCACTTATTTTTAACTGCAATAGACAGTGCCCACATACTCTAATTCACTGCTATTTTCTCCTTCTGCTAATCGAGTTTTTACTGTGAGTTGACATTAAGCCATTAGAATGTCATTCAAAGTCAGATAAAAAACTGACTTGATGAGATGCTGATTAGCTCATAAAAAGGAGGCATCCCAAAGTAATAATAGTATGTCTAGAAAGATTAATATGTGGGGGTGGGGTGGGGGGAGGCGAGAGAAAGGAGGAGCCACTCAGCCATAATTTTATCACTGTTTTAGTTGTCTCCTGTAGTTATATCTTGCAATATGTTGTTGATAATCGTTGATTGCTTCCATCTTTGTTTCACTGACATTTGCAAAGTATGTTTAAATAATTGAAAAGCAAAAGGGAACCATTTTACAGTTCCTGAGGTGTTATAATTCAGCATTTGTTGTGTTAACCAAAATCAAATATCTACCAAGGTGCATACAGTGGTACCTCTGGATGCAAACGGGATCTGTTCCGGAGCCCCGTTCGCATCCTAAGCAGAACGCAACCCACATCTGCGCGTGCGTGGGTTGTGATTTGCCACTTCTGCACATGCATGTGACGTCATTTTGAGCACCTGCGCATGCGTGAGCGGCGAAACCCGGAAATAACCCGTTCCGTTACTTCCGGGTCGCTGTGGAACGCAACCTGAAAACGTTCAACCTGAAGCTACTTTAACCCGAGGTATGACTGTATAGAAATTTATCATCTAACGAAAGCTAATTGTTGACCCATATTGATGATAAGATACCATAACCATGGCTTCTGCCCCTCTTTAGTGTAAAAACAGCAACATTGTTGAGAAAGCTTCCTTCCCCAATCTTTTATTGCTTTTTGTTAACACCTGCCATTTAGGAACAATATGTCTGTTAGAACTGGCTGTGAGTTGCTATGCCGTAAGTAGTAAGAACGATAATTTTACTGTTGCTCTGTTGTTTGTTAGCACTCACAAAATCTAAACATACATATCAGAAAACATTTTTTGTGTTCCCAAGTTTTATTAAAATTGAGCAGGGTCTGTTGGACTGTATCTTATCCATTCCAGGTTAATCAGGCTGAAAGAGATTGAGAGATACGTAGAGAAAAAATGATAACTAGCTTTACTGTCGTCATGTAGGTTTTCTTGTTGTTTATTATTGCTTTTACTTGGCAGAAAGCTTTGAAGATGTGAAATCTCTTTGCTCCGAGCCTTGTTTTTCTTCCCTAAATAGAAGCCGATACATTTTCTTTGTAAGGATTTCCATACAATTATCATCCTCACTTCTTTTGTATGTTACTAAGATTCTGAGAAGGGGATGCAGCTTGGAAACGTACCAGCCAATTCTTTCTTCCCAACCAATTACAGCTCTTTCCTGTTTGTTTCCAATAACCAAAGTGCTTCATTGTAATCCAAGTGCTGTAGAAAACACTTTTATCTGTCTAGCTCATAGATAGACTTCAGTCCATTAATTTCAATGGGTTTGCTCTGAGTATGAGTTCATTACATATAACCCATAGACATAGATATAAGGTTGATTTAGATGTATCCCATGTCTCTAGAATGTGTGAATAACAAATACTCTAGGATTTAACTACTCTTAGATTTGTAAAGAGGCAGACACATAAGCTGGGGTTGAACTGGGCCACTTTTATTTAAACCTCATACAGTATTGAAATCAGCAGAGGGCGATGACTATGGGGCGGGAACTAACTTCACTGTATAACTATAGCCATTGGGTGACCTGCCTTTACCTAAGGAATTATGGCATGGCTTTCTAGCCTGTCCTGAATCTCAGGCTGAAGGTGAAGAAGGGAGGCTGTACCTTGTCACCACATCCCGGAACCCCAGAACCCCAGGTGGATAAGGGAGTTTGGCCTCAAAAAAGTCCCCTATCTCACCCTCAGAACCACGGAATCCGAGAAGTGAGCCTCAGGGCCAACCCATTACCTGAAAAATGCCTAAAGGATGTCACCAGGCTAAACAGTTTCTTTTCCTGCATCTAAACTGCAGTCCCCTCTGCAGGTCAGTAGGAAGATGTCATTGCTGACATCCACCAAATGGACTCCACCTGGCCTATACAGTTCAACCCCCATCCCCACCATACTTTCATGGTGGATTACTTAACCTCACTGGCCCTGAACTGCAAGCCAAACTTCCCTGTTGACTTCTGGGACTTGTCCTATTTATTCCCTTAGGATCAAGAGAACTGCTGAGCTCTTCTCAGCATATTTCAGACCACACTAAAGGAATAGCCAGCCAACATTGCCGGATAACTTGAAAACCAACATGGCTTGCAGGCACAGAATCTTTCCTTTCAGTATACCCAGCTCATTGACTGCCCAGGTGGGGAAGTTCTAGCACTATCCTGCCTGGAACCACAAAGGGAGCAACTGGTCCCAATGCATGCCTTGGCAGCCCCAACCACTAAACTGCCATTAACTGACTAAATCCCAGATTGTTGCCACCCAGGTAGACACCAGCAACTGGGGAGGTTCCAGCACTACCATAGCTGGAACTTAGGTGAGCTGTGGTAGATATAACACCAATGTGAAATGACTGAACCCCAAATGAATCCGAATCCGAGCCCAAATTGTAGGGTGCCACTTTAATGAATACCCAGAATAGAAAATGTGTCAGTAGTGTAATATGCACTCTTTGATGTGGAATTATATTTATTGTGTGTCCGCGCACATGCACACAGTTCTTGCTATAATTATCATCACCACATCACCACCATCCTGGGTGCTTGTGATTTCTTACTTTGTTTATATACATACACACACAACGTCTTAAAATTATGTAACTATACACACTTCAAAACACACTTCAAAAACTTTGATTTCCATAAAAAAGAAGCCCCAAGGATTCCCAAGTTTTATTTACTTACACTTAATTCCTTTAAGTGTCTCAGTTTGTTAAGTAAACTAGTTGGGAGATATAAAAAAAATCAGATTAATTTTACTTTGCTGAACTTAACTAGGAAAATAACATTTTTAGCCTAGAACTTGAGGGTTATAGCAGAGGTGGATTAAGGGCAGCACGACTGGTTCTGCCACACTGGGCACCAAGCCTAGGGGGCACAACTATGACATAATGAGCTGAGCAGAATGGAAGGCAGGAGATGGAGGGCACCAAATTTTGGCCTCGCACAGGGTCCTGCTGAAATTTTAAAGACCAAACTCCACCCCTGGTTCTAAACAGTAAGGAGTTACTGGTTGTGCGGAAATCCATTGCTGAAGTAGTCACAGACAGATTAACTCCTTAATTAAGTCTGCTGCAAGAGATATACAACCCATGCCTTAATTAGATTAGACTACTGTAATGTGCTCTACATGGTGCTGCTCATGAAAACAGTTGATGAGCTCCAGTTGGTACAGAGTGCTGCTTCCTACTTTGTGTCAGCTGTAAGTCAGTATAATCTTATCACACCTGTGCCTAAACAGTTACACTGGTTACTTGCAAGCTTCTGGACTCAATTCCAATGTATTTGTTCTATAAAGCCTTAAATTATCAGGCTATATCCCGAAGGCATATGATGCAGGAACCTTGTTGAAGTTAAGCAGCTCTGAAAGGGTCAGTACCTAAATGCAAACCACTCAGGAACCCCATTTTTGCTGCCTTTAGAGATGTCGCGAGAGAAAGGCAAGGTATGCATGTTTTAATGTATTAAAACATGTACAGAACTCATGTAGCCATACCATAACATACATTCTCTGAGATCCTCATGAAACATATTCCATTAAACAGTACAATGAATGCTATTTAATTTTTAAAGCGCAGTTGAAATGCTATTTTTTAAACTAGGAGGAATTTTAAAGTTGTATAAAAGGTCATCTGGTACCAAGGAGATCACAAAGATGATGCCAATCAAAGCTGTCCACGAAGGCTATTCTGTAACTCAGGTGCCACTGCCAGTAAAGCCATCTCCCTCCTGGTTGCCTGACTCTTTGCCAGATAGCTTTTACTAAATTTGGACAGAGTTTGGCAAAAGCTGGATATAGGAAAAAATAATAGCTTTTAGCTAACATTTGCATTTTTTATTTGAAATGAATTATCACAGCCATGATTCTTACATTCTTAAAATACTCAGTATTTCCAGCAGACAAAGGCTAACAATGCATGAATTAAAGTAGTATTGATCTTTGCCTTTTTTTAGTGTTCACACAGAAACACTTAGCAAAAATATATATATGTGGGATCTCATAGCTTGTTGTTCCTGTTGTTGTTGTAGGCATAATAAATATCATGTGAGCCATATGTCAGGATAGTCCATCTAGTGCTGTATTTCATGGTTAGTTAAGGTGGATGAGAAATTTCTTAAAACAATTGCACTTTCCATGCAGCTTACACTGGCAAAACCAAGCTTTGGTGACTCATTGTTCCAGTGCTGAAATTCCATCAAGGGGAAAAGGATTTGCTTTGAACAAAAATGTTTTAGTCAACAGAGAGAGCTAACATTTTAGAGCTATTAATCAGAGCAGTCAGCTGAATGTAGATTTAACTCTAGGATTTAGAAGATACGGCAACTGCAACTGTGCTCCGAAAAAACTGAGGATTGAAAATAGCAGATTGAGTTGCAGCATTTTGAAGTCCCCCCCCCTCCCAAATTGGTTTACTTGTAATTCAGTTTACTGCTTGCAGAATTTGGTGTCATCTTAACATTTCACCAATGTTGCAGTTGCAATAGAAGTGTGACATGCTGTGTGTGTGTGTGTGTGTGTGTGTGTGTGTGTGTGTGTGTGAACTTAGTTATATTTTAGAATTCTCATTTGAATAAAATCCATGTTTCATCTTCAATTAATCTTAATCCTTTTATTTTATTTTTTACCCTAAGAGGAAATGGGCCTGTAGTGAACCATCTAGGTTTGTTGTTCTGGCAAAACGGCTTTTTAATCAGGCTCTGCTTGTACATTTCTTTTGCAGCCTGCCCCAATGTGATTCCCTCTAGATGTTGTTGGACTACATCTACAACTCTCCCCCAACCAGCATAGTCAATGGTCAGAGATTGTTGGAGTTGTAGTCCAAAACATCTGTTGAAGTGAGCTGTCCTACTACATGCATTGGTTGACCATTGTTGGAGATTGAATGCTAGACTGAAATAATCTTTGATCTAGTCCACCAATGCAATTCTTTTATTGTAAAGAACTTAAATTTCTTTGCTAACATTCACTAATTTAAATGCTGTTGCCTAGGAACAACCTGCAAATAAGCAGTTGTGGGTGGTGAAAAGCTTTCTTGAAGTGAGACAAATTTATGACCTTGACAAATATTCCAATACTCTGCAACAAATGTCCATAGAATATATACATCTAATTTTTGCAATTTTTATGTATTAGTGTCCAGTAGTGATGCAATTTCAAGATGGTCTACTTATTTTTAGTAAAACAACAGACTCGTGTGACACCTTAGATTAACACCTTTATTATGGCATAATATACGTCTGTTAATTAGTTGACAAATTTCAGGATGTTTATAGTATTATCAGCATTGCTTCATGAATGATCTTTGTAATTATTTTACATTCATCTAAGCTTTAGCAGACTTATCACAATCCATATGTCTTGAATTTAATTTCTCTCTGACGTCATTGCTATCAGGGTTTTCCATATTCTGAGCTCATTGACTCCTTGATGAGCTTATAAAGTTGTCCTTGACTCCAACCCAAATTCCTAGGAACGTAAATGAAATAAAGTCAAGAAATATCAATATGTAATCTATTCATGATCAGTCACCAGTACTAGGAATCATAAGATGTAAAAAAAGGAAGTAAAACAAGTGAAAATAATGGTTTCTGTATACGGTTTTCTTAATAATAAAGAAGCATGGCCTGGGAATACTGTTGTATCATATTCAATACTCAGTGTCTGGGTAGAACGATGGGGGTGGAGATGCTCCTTCAAGTATACTGGGCCGAGGCTGTTTAGGGCTTTAAAGGTCAGCACCAACACTTTGAATTGTGCCCGGAAATGTACTGGGAGCCAATGTAGGTCTTTCAAGACTGGTGTTATGTGGTCTTGGTGGCCAATCCCAGTCACCAGTCGAGCTGCCGCATTCTGGATTAATTGTAGTCTCCAGGTCACCTTCAAACACGTAGAGCGTGTTGCAGTAGTCCAAGCGGGAGATAACTAGAGCATACACCACTCTGGCAAGACAGTCCACAGGCAGGTAGGGCCTCAGCCTGCGTACCAGATGGAGCTGGTAAACAGCTGCCCTGGACACAGAATTGACATGTGCCTCCATGGACAGCTGTGAGTCCAAAATGACTCCCAGGCTGCGCACCTGGTCCTTCAGGGGCACAGTTACCCCTTTCAGGACCAGGGAGTCCCCCACACCCACCCACCCCTTGTCCCCCCAAAACAGTACTTTTGTCTTGTCAGGATTCAACCTCAATCTGTTAGCCACCATCCATCCTCCAACTGCCTCCAGGCACTCACACAGGACCTTTACCGCCTTCACTGGTTCTGATTTAAAAGAGAGGTAGAGCTGGGTATCATCTGCATGATCTCCTGATGATCTCTCCCAGCAGCTTCATATAGATGCTAAAAGCATGGGGGAGAGGACGGAACCCTGAGGCACCCCACAAGTGAGGGCCCAGGGGTCTGAACACTCATCCCCCCCCCACTTTCTGAACAGAGCCCAGAAGGAAGGAGTGGAACCACTGTATAACAGTGCCCCCAGCTCCCAGCTCCTCTAGATGGTCCAGAAGGATGTTATGGTTGATGGTATCAAAGGCTGCTGAGAGATCCAGCAGAACTAGGAAACAGCTCTCACCTTTGTCCCTAGCTCGCTGGAGATCATCAACCAGTGCGACCAAGGCAGTTTCAGTCCCATGATGAGACCTGAATCCCAATTGGAAGGGATCCAAATGGTCCGCATCCTCCAGGTGTGCTTGGAGTTGTTCAGCAACCACTCGCTCAATCACCTTGCCCAAGAATGGAAGATTTGAGACTGGGCGATAGTTGGCCATATTGGCCGATTCTAAAGAATTTTTTTTAAGAAGCGGTTTAATGACCGCCTCTTTCAGTGGGTCTGGGAACGCTCCCTCACAGAGGGAAGAATTCACCACCCCGCAGAGCCCATCACCCAGCCCTTCCCAGCTCACTTTTATTAGCTAGGATGGGCAAGGATCAAGGAGACAGGTGGTTGGTTTCACTTGTCCAAGCAGCCTGTCCACATCCTCAGAGGTAACAGATTGGAATTGATTCCATTCAACTAGACTAGACAGGACTCTAGCACTCTTCCACCCCAGCCCTGCTCCCATGGTGGAGTCTACCTCCTTCCGAATCTGAACGACTTTATCTGCAAAAAACTTTGCAAAATCATTGCAGGAGATCTTAGGGTCTTTACAAGGCCCTGATGGCAAAGGTGGTTCTGTTAAATTGCAAACCACCTGAAATAGTCTCCTGTTGCTATTTTCTGCAGATGCAATAGAGTCCTCTTCACCTTCGCTATCGCCACTTGGTAGGCTCAATATTGAGCTCTAATCCTATCCAATTCAGAATGAGTTTTCCGCCACCGGCGCTCTAGCCGTCTCAGCGATTGTTTCCTCGCCCTCAGCTCCAGGGAAAACCATGGGGCTGTCTGGGCTTCATGCAATCGGAGAGGGTGCTTCGGAGCCAGACAGTCAATAGCCCAAAGTCTTTCTACCCTTATTTTTTGTGATTTTTATTTTTGGCAAGTGTGTAAAGCTGAATGCACGCAAGTTAAATATGTGTAAGTTGCAAGTTACATGTACTTGCCAACTCAGGATAGCATTCCACAAATCTGATGAAGTGACCCTTTTTTAGTCATTAAAGACATCTCAAGTCCCATGCTTCAACTACATGGCTGCCCACTGAAAACCATTTTTGCTAGCTCCAGTGAATATTTTCAAGAGGGATATGTTATAATTTCTTTTATTTTCTTTTTTACTTCATAGAGTACAGTTAAGAGTTAGCAGACAAGCTTCATGTCAGTTATGATGCTGTGAGAAGCATTGTATATTAACCTTTGCATTATGATTTGTGAATTTGAGATTTTACTTTTACTAAGATGACCATGTATAATAAATACGTCAATAATATAAATATGCATATTGTAACTCTGAGCAGCACTGCCATAACTACAATATTTTACTTTTTTTCTATCAGGTTTGTCACTTTTTTGTTACCTCATAAAAAAATTTGCTTTTATAAAAGGTTATCCTGTAATGCAGAGTTTGTATTCATAAATTCCAAATGAATATGTGTACTCAGTGGATTTTTGTTTATTTGAAATTCTTTTTGCAGACAGACCTCCTTCAGAAAAAAAAGGGCCATATTTCTGAGGATTTCAAAAGGCTCTAAATTATCTTCATGGATACAAGCAAGTAGACAATGGCGCTCTAACCATCTGTTCAAGCTTCTTGAGGAAAAAGTCTGCCGTGGAAACATCATGAAAAGTAATGTAACTTCTGCAGATGGCCAGAATATTTTTAACCTGTATTTTAAAATCCAACTCCTTCTACACTATGAAAATTCTGCATATATTGTTAGCATTTACATTTTGAGGAGCAGGGAAAATAGCTATTCCCAGAATGGTAACCCTCTTCTCTATATAAAATGACATGCAGCACAATCCAAGATGTGTTTACTAAGGAACAAGACACACTGATTTCAACTAAACTTACACCTTGGTGTGTTTAGTACTGCAGCATCAGAAGCAAAATAAATGTACTTTAGTGTATTACTCAACATAGAGTTTGTTCATTCATTTATTTTCATGAAGATGAACAATTAAGCAGTTGGTTGGGTTCTTGATCTGGAAAGTACACTGTCCACACAACAATTCATTCTCTGATAATGGGCTAATTCTTTGCCTAATATATCTTGATTAAAAATATTCAAGTTTATAGCCCTGAGAGCAGCTTATAAATTCTCATGGTAAAATCACACAAATCTAGTACTGTTCTAGAAATTGCATAGTGTCCAAATGGAACTAGGACTATTCCAGAATCATTTTCTGCCCTCATCTTTTTCTTCCTCTACCCTTATTCTTCCCTGGTGTCATACCTGGCTTCAGCTCCCAAAATCCCATGAGCCTGTGATGTAAGCAATCACACCTTGATGTCAGTTTGCCAGGCAGCATGTCCTCTGTGGCACAGGAGTGGGTGTGGGAATCTAGATCTCACTCAGCTCATGATATAAAGGGGCTTCCTTTGCTGGCAGTCAGCAGATGTCAAACACCAACTCAAAGTCCTCTGGGGCAAGAGAGTAGGACTGAGCAGCTTGAATTCACTCAGCTCAATCAGTATTCCAATGTTGGCCGTCGTTTAAATTAAAGTGTATTTTTATTCTTCATAGCAATAACAACAAAAATAGCGATATCATTTTATTTGGAGCTGAGGAAATTCCTTCTTGCATTTTTAGTAAAGGAATTATACAAATCTGAGAGCTTTTTGAAGGGGTTGCTTTCACATGGCATGTAAGTACTGTCTTCCTCTACACACACACACACACACACACACACACATTCTTTCACTCTTGTTGCACATTATCCACCTTTGAAAATTGCTAGGTTTCTACCTCCTCTTTGTAAAATTCTTCATTTAGTGGGGCATAGTTATGCCTATGATGTGCATAATGATTCAGGTCTTTTGCTTGGAGGTCTCTGCATTAGAATAAAACATCTGCATGTTCATTTGTTGGATTGTTTGGACCCTTAATTAGATAACTGTTTTTCACTAAATTCTCTATTTAAAAACCCATTGTGGTGTCAAAGAATTTATAATGAAGTCTATATAACTGAGTTGTGTCCAGCTGTTAAGTTTAGTGAGTTTCCAATCCATAGCATAAATTTTGATTAGAGTTAAATATCCTTGTAAAACACTGTACGTTCTTGGAAATTATAGAGTTGCTGAGATAGAAGCAGTTTGTCATCCAGTCTACTGCACCAAGGCAGGTTTAATGCATCACCTAGATTATATGGTTCCACATAAATAAAGCAACAGTAATGAAGGTACACTATGCTGAGTGGAGGGTGGGGCCTTGAAAGATTAGGATAGATGTAGCAAAAGCAAATTTGGCAACAGATGTGCTTTGAGGCTGGAAGAAACAGTGGCACAGGAATAGGGAAGGAGTCCAGGGATATACTGAAGGAATACAGGTATGGTAGAGCAGAGATGTAGAAGGGCTGTTTCTACTTTATAAGTATCAGAGAGAGCAGAGGGCCACACACAGGTGGAGAACTGAAGAGAGGAGCAGAAAGAAATGTGAAAGCACCTTGTGAGAACCGTTAGGGTGTTGTTGGAAGGAGAGGGAAGAGATAAGGTATCCTCCGTCCTACTTGATAATGAGTTGTGGCTCTTGGGTCCAAGAGCAGAGACCAAGAGCCACTTTAAGCCATGTCCTCTGAGAGGGCTAATAACACTGTGGTCCCTTGGGGAACACCAGAGGGTACTATCCACATCATATGCTGGGCCAGGAATGACGATCCGGAACCATCACTTGCGAGTTACTAGCTTGTAAAAGATATTCTGGTCGGGTTTATATATACGTATTCTGAAGTGGTGAGAAGTGACATATTTCAAAAGGTTTTACATAACTTTCACTCTCAACATGTTGCAATTTGTGCCAGCCCTCACATTATATAAATGTCTATCTTGCTTTTTTAATAACTTCATTTAGAGGAGCTCTGGTGCTCTCGCACTAATTCAAAAGGAATATTTAATGGGTCTTTTTAAAGCATTTCATTGTAGTTACTTTGTGGTAAACTAAGCCTGCATGAAAATGAGGGGGGGAAATGCATGTCGTTGGTTTTTTTAAAAGGGGTGCTTTCCAGCATATTGGAGCTGATCACAACTTACATAAGCAAACCATCTGTAAACCCTACGCATTGGCCATGTTGAAAGGGAAGAAAATGAAAAGGTAAACAGGACCCAGTGCTCACTGATGCAGTACTTTTTGCTATAGCTCAGTGGGTATCTGCAGAGGTTCAACACAGAAGTGTAAAGAATAAAAATAATATTCTTTGCTCTGCTACTTCTTCGAGCTGGTTCTTGAATTGATTTGATTTTAAGGAACTTGCAAGCTTTTCAAGCTCCTGAAGGAGTGTTTAACTTTGAAACATATCGTGCGGCAGTAAGAGGAACCCCTCCACAAAGTTTATTAAGCCTGCCAGATTATTATTATTACTTACTGAATTTGTATACCGCCCTATACCTGGAGGTCTCAGGACAGTTCATAGAATTGCAGAAATAGGCCCAGGGGCTTATTTTTGTAGGCTGGGGGACTAAAAAGGGAGTGATGGTTTCTTTCTTTCTTACCTTAAAACAATTAAGAGTGGTGTGCATTTTAGTTTGTAATTATTTTTATTTTTTTTAAACTGCCACTTCACTCTAGCTTTTTTTTCTGGTGGTTGATTGTGGCCTCTAATGCACCATACAAGCCTAGACCATTCAGTAGTTCTTACTGGTCTCTAACAGGCCTTACAGAATGAGGATATCCAGAATGCTGCCTGTGGACTTCTGAAGAGCTCGCATGGGGTAAGGGGTGGGGTAAGAGAGAGAAGCTGTTGTTGTTAAAGCAAGTAGAGCAATGTAAGATGTCAAATAATAATAATCCCAACTATATGAAATTTAACTTTTAAAAATAATCCTCCGCTGCTGTTCTTTACAACAACAACAACAACAACAACAACAACAACAACAATCCAATGCTATTCAAGCAACAATTGGGTCTGCCTCATTTCTTCCAAAACCCATCAGTTTAGACGAGCGTATAGACCAGAAAATAAAGGTATATGGCACAGAAAAGCACAGAAAGTGATAGATTGACACAGGGCTTTGTGAGGGCCCTGAACCGACTGGGTTTTTATTTTTGTGTGTTTGGAGCAGGGGATTAAATCACACTTTGATTTGGGAGGACAGGAGACCCCTGAATCATTCTGATTTGCCTCATTATTCGGGTCCTACATCCCTAATATGTGTGTTTAGTAGTTCATGGCTGAACAGTTGGCATGCTTTTGTTCTTGTACATTAACAAGTATCAAGGAGATACTTCATTGTCTTTTTGAACCACAATTTCCCCATGATACCTGCCCTTCATTGCTTAATATGTTTGTGAATTCCTTTCTGTTATCCCCTACTGTCTTGGTAGAGATGCTATGCCAATTCTAGATTCTGCAAAGGGTCCTGGCAGAGGTAAATCAATGTTCAGTAGCAATACTTTGAATTCTGTTCTAAAAGAAAAGTGAAAGATTGCTTTTTCTTCAAAATGTTGTACATAATCCCAACTATAGTATCTGCCACTGGAAGTAATAATGCAACTTGTTTACAGCATCAATTTGCTTCCATTTTAAGGAACCTTTTTATCAGTAGCCCTTTCTCTTTCTCTTCCTCCTCTTCCTCTTTGTTAAATGTAGTTACAGAATGTTGTTAGATTCAGTGTAGCAGAATATGGGGCAGAGCATTCAAAAAGAGAGATCCCCCTTAGGGTTTTTCTTTCCAGTGTACCCATGTGACATGTCTGCATTAGATATGGAAGCTTCAACAGCACTTTTCTTAAGAAACTAAGGATTGTAAAGTGAATGTTTCCACTCTTGCTTGCTGCATTGCCTGCAGCATCATTCTTAGAGCAAGATATGTGGTGAGAGAGAGCAGTGAGCATGAATAACAGGAGAATGAAAACACACTGAAAATCTGGGTTCTCTCTGATAAGTTTCAATTCCCCATCACATTCTCCACAATCACATTTCCCGCATGCTGAAGTAGAATTTTTAATATTTGCTAGGTTTAGGGGTTGTTGTTTTTTATTGGTGCTAAAACGTGTTAACGATAATGGCAGTGTTATATTTAAACTAAAGGAGAAGAAATCAGTACAATAATATGCTGGATCTGAAAGAATGAGGAAAATGTTAAGAGAACTCCAGTGAAAGCCCCCAGTTTTAAACTCAAGATCAGCTTGATGTATATATATCTGTGCTAGGCTGCAGGGTACGCAAGCATACAAGCAGTAGGAGTCGGTGGGGTGAGGCGGCAGCACTTACCTGACCTCCCATCCACTCACATTGCTGCAGTGAACTGGGAGGGAAAGGGGTGGGGAGGAAATGAGGAAGTGCAGTACAAATGCATTGGCAGGAGTGCTGGTTTGGCTCCGCTAGTGTGTTTGCACTGCCACCACCTCACCTCACTGCCACTTTGCTCCTCACCTTCCCAATATACCTCAGGGATGCAGCTGATTGGGGAGGGTCAGGTGAGTGCTTCCAGCCCACCCACCAGAAACCAATCCAGTCCTTCAACAGGAAGGCTGCTGTAATTAACCTGCTGCAGTAGCTTAAGCTTTCAAGCAAATTTCAAAGGCATTGGGCTCTCGGGAATCTGGGTGGTTTTTTTTCTCATGGTAAACTTCATTCGGTAACATTTTTGAATACTGGGTTGTATCAGCATGTGGTGCATGTGTTTGTGTGTGTGCATGGAAGCTTTATGAAGAAAATGCAACTTCCCAATTTGTGTGTGTGTCTAAAAAACGAGAGCAAAAAGAGCGTATGCCATTTTTCACTCTGCTTAGCCCTTTACTCTAGATGAGTTCAGCCCTGGACAGTCACTTTCTAACTTTGAGAGCCATCTTTTTAAGATTGATGGTGCAGTATTATGTCATCAACATGAGTAGCTCTCACTTTTCCCACAGCTGCTGCATTTAGTTTTGTGATCTCTCTCTCTCTTTCTCCAATCTTCCGGACTTCTTTCTTCAGTTTTTCTTATTCAAAGTCTGCAGCGTTGATATATGCTTCATTTAATATAGTTCCAGTAACTAGCTGATGACGATAGCATGTTGAAATCTCTGCAACATTTCCTTTGCTATTAGCATGCAGGACATCAAAGCTCCCTTTAGTGTCTTTATAAGCATTGTCTGAAGCTTTAAAACATAGTGATTCCAGAGA